GCAAGACCGCGAGAACTGACCATCGAATCTCTATAAACTCGAAGGGTAAAATTTGTGGATTAAGCGAATAACCTCACTTGGGTTCTGTATGCATGTGTCGCAAATACAAAACATCCATAACCCGAGATGTCCGAGTTTTGGCAAGCGAAGATTTTGAGCTGATTTTTTGGAGGATTTGGACATTGAAAGTGCCAATATGTAATTTGGATCGCGGTCTCAAGAGACCAAGAATGCTGTCCCGTTAACGCAAATCACTCTCAAGAACTTTAAAGCTGGAAGAAGTCAAAAATTATGTAGGAATTTTGATTGGGAGAAGTGAAGAAAGATAAGAGGATAAAAATGTGGAAGGTGGATAGTTATCTTGGGGAACTTGAGTACTGACAGAGTTATGAAGGCGGTTAATACTTCCCGACCAGCTACCCTGTGGAAAGCTATATATTCTTAAGGTTTCTGGGAAAGAAGGGTTAGTGCATGACTGTAGAGCTCATGACATCTGCTGAAAGCCGGTCATACATGAGGCCTTTTTAAAAGTTTAGTATTCAAGTTTGTTAGTTTCGATTGCGACTATGAACGCATATCGTTGGCCTCGGTATGCCACGGAGTTGAAGGGAGTTCGCTGTTTTTGGGGCTGACATTTTCTAACCCACCTTTCCTAGAGGGAAGGCAGCACGACACTGGCGGTCATCTGCAGGAAACATTTTACTGCTATCATACTCCCGTCCAACCGACAGTACAACTTCGCCATTGGACCTCCATCGTAGCATAACAATTTTGCACTACGACGGTAACTGTTTTTTGCCTAACCACTATCTAGCAGACCTTTCTAGTATGGTTGGGAAGAAGCATTCCACCAAAATAGCTCGTTGGAATATTGTGATATGCAAGCTCGACCACCTCCACGTCAAGATAGCAGCTACTGGTCGGATGAGTGATAAGAAATTCATCTCTGACATTTAAATTACCACTCAAGGTATCCAGAAGACTGCGTCTCTACATCGTCTTCGCCTAACAGGACTATATCATCTGCGTGCTTTAGGTATGCTAAGGAGTATCCTGCGAAAGTCAATCTCTGTATAGTAAGGTGAGAGAGAAACATCCACGTCTGTGATAAAATTTACGAAACTTGAAATTGAGTCGTTATCATGAACTGCGAAGCTAGGACTGAAACGTGGCGTAAAACTATTCTCAGAGGAATGTTTAAAAAATCCAGGGGGCAACGTATTAAAGAGTTTACAAAGAACTTGATAACTGATGGAGTTATAAAGGTAGATGATACTTCCCACTCGTTCATACCATAAAGGAGTTCTTTCTTTGTAGGTATCTCAAAAATAAAGTAGGTTATTAAGAGTGGTTTTATCAATCTGGTTGCAGGGTCGTAGATCTCAAGAGACATCTTAAGACGGTCGGCTACATATGACTTTGTTGAATTTTTTTTCAAGTAGAATATGTCCTTACTTGAATAGGTCTCAACCCTCGGCATCTGAAACCGAATTTTTGTAACCCCTTTTTCTCAAAAGGAAAGACGGCATCAGCTGATTAGATTCATGAAACATTTCTGCTGTCTCGCCGCATTCAGCCAGCTATACGACTTCGCTCTAGGATCTCCGAAAAGCGCAAAGTATTTACACCGCGATAGTGATTATTTTTAGTTGCATCAGTATCCAAGACGCCTTTCTGACATAGTAGAACCTCAAAAAACAATCGTCCCACCCAACGTAGGTCTTTGGGACCTCGAGTACTGCATAGTTGTGTCGAAATCTTGAATATAAATAGAAAGATTCTGTATTGGTTCATTTTAAGAGCCTTTGGCTTCTCTTTACTGAACTCGCTTCAACTGAAGTGCACTTCAGAGTAGTCCAGTAATGTATAATGTTGAGTAGTACGTAAAATGGAAGTGCACATATACTCGAAGAAAAGTAATTATACCATTTTAAGTGAGGATATTTAAGTTAAAATTAAATACTAACACCTACTACTGATGTGATGGAGAAAACAGTCGACAACGAGGACGAGTTACAAAGCACAAAAAAGTATCTAAAATCAAATTTAACTGAAATTTTTCGGAGTTGGCTTTTGATGCGATGAGAACAGAACTCAGAAGTCACTTTTGCTAGATTTTTGAAGCTAAAAAACATCCGACAGTATGAATTAGTCTTCAAATTAGGTGTCTCTATGCAGAACTGTCTGCTATTAATGTGTTTCAATAAAGATATTAAACTCTGCAGTCCACGCTTATTCGAGAGCAATGAGGCAGTTCCATCGTCGAATTTCTGAGTACTACCCATCATGGTTGAACAAGGGACAAATTAGAACTATAAAGAGCTCCATACTTGCACACTTAGTTGACACAGGACATCAAGTGGTTACTGGAAAAGCCTTCAAAATTATCCATCAGATTCCAATTAATTTGCCTCATGGATTACACACTCGGGTACTTCACATAGCAGAGGCGATTGCAATCCACCTTTACAAACCTAGCCTTTGTATCCATAAGAAGTTTGTTCGACCACTTTCATTACCGTGGCCGTCAACATGATGTAACTTCTAGGTTCATTTTGTGCACCTTCTTCCCTTTCTTGTTTCTATCAATATTCATATCTCCTATTTTAGTAACTCTACTGATTATTTACATCATTATTTCCAAAACACCACGTGATTGGTAATTTGATTAAATTGTAAAACTATATATTAGTGTAGAACCCAAGATGAAGATCTAATTGAAAATAAATATATTTCTTCGCTCAATCAGACTTTTAAAAAAGTCAAAGTGCGAAACATATCACTTAATGATTATGTAAGAGCCGATATCACATTATCATTGGCGTCTCCATAACAGCTTAATGAAAGCTCCTATGCGTTGTCGTAAAACCCCTCCCCCTTCTCCTTAAGGAGGGGTATCTAACTGTATTTTGCAGCGTTATCTGTGAAACAAAAAAACCTATAGGAATAATAAAGTTATATTTTCATAAATCTCAGTATCATTTTTTATCATCAGTAAGAATGATATTTCATGAATCGTCAACTCATTTGGGAAATATAAGACTGAAGGTCAAAAACTCAAGATAGGTAAATAAATGAATGAATATGGTATGATTTCATTTAAAGGCGAAGATACCCTGAGACGACAAACGTATCAGCTGAGACCAATTACGATAAGTAGATGGAAGTGTTCTAAAATGACATTAAAATTGAATTAAACCGAGTAAAATAAAATTAAGAGAAGGTAGTTGTATGAAATGTGTGGTCAATATGTCAGGCTAGGTCTGAAGTAATGACAAGGATCGTACAAATGGTTTCTGCACACATGTTTATGATTTATTACCATGACTTCTGCAATTCAAAGTAGTTATATATACGTGCATCCTTTGACCGGTTCGATCCAGTCTCTTAAATCACATCAAATGATGATTCATAGACTGCATGATTGTCATCAACGAAATATTGAAGAATTGATGAAGTTAAAGTCTTACGTTCCCCGTTGTTGACCCATGCTGTTTTCGTTATGGACCTCGACTTACATTAGTTGGTAAATCCTAGGGAAATTTATGGGTTCATTGAGTTCTGTTTCTCGTTTGCAATAGGTCACGGAGTTTTTTTCTTCAAATTGTTTGTCTAGTAGACAACAGCATCGTTGATTTCCTGGTGACAAGCTTTCTTGTCAGTTCTGCGAGTGGAGTCCTTCACTATTTTATGGTAGGCAGGTAAGCTACTTACAGTTTATCAGTAACTTAAAATATAAATGAAATATATTTTTAAAATCTCGATGAGTTTGAAAAATAAATTTCTGACGTTTCTTGACTTTGTGGAAATCACTTTTTTAGAGAATGTCCTGAAATTGCTGTCAGTTGTTAATAAGAAGCATAATCAGCATGTTTGTCACTACGTACTGAAAGTTTATTCAAAATTGTTTGGCCAAAAATTTGAATATTGGATCTTGGTTTATTTTCCAAGTATGGAAGTTCCGAACATTTGTTTCATACATCTGGTATAAATTTTAGTGTTTTTTCTTCGTAATTTATTTCTTCGCACTTATATAGTGGCGTCGATGAGTGGAAGAGGATTGCAACAAAGGTTTCATCTTCCTTGATGAATAGCTACTGCTTCATTCTTACTCAGTGTTGCCACTCCTAGAGTTATGGTAATTTACTTGGTTGTGGCTAGCAGAAAAAACCCAGGATGCGCGTTTCATCCCACCTGGGACTCGTCAGCTGGATGTCTCTGCACCCCAGTGAATAGGTGTGGTTCCAGCTGAGACTTGAGCCTCGTACCCATCGCTTCAGACGCCACAGCATTATCCACCAGGCCACTGAAGCACGATAGTCGGCTCTTTTACAACGGGTATTAGTTATGACTTTTAGTTGATGTACTTGTAATTCTCCGTTGTTTTACTTGATCGAATTGTTCGACCTCTGTTGCCGTACACTAACGGATGACTAGAGACTTTTGCCTCGTCAGCTATTGATAATATTTCATCTTTCTTGAGCTCTCTGCTATGCCTAGCATTTAAACTATAGTTAGTAGTCTTTCAGCAGAATGATTTATCAGAGAAATAATCTTGAGTGCTTTTGTGGTAATCAGTCCCCACAGTTTCTTATTGAAATTTTTTTTTTTCACGTTTTTCAATTCCTGAATTTCTTTGCTTATGGTTATCTAAATTTTTGTCTGGTATTAATTTTTTGTAGTTTTGTTAGCATGATATCGACAGTTGGTTTCTCTCAGTGCTTAGACTTACCACTACTGTTAGAATAATGACTAGGTTTTTGTTTCATATTGTATTTCAACAGTTTTTGAGTTTATTAACACATTTCCCAGACTTTCTGCTGAACAAAAAAGTCCCTTTAACGTAAAATAACGTTACATGGTTAATTATCCAACCAATAGTTTATCGTATACTTATCATACTTTCTTCTATGTGTCTTATGCACACGATGAAGAATATTGCATTCATTTTCTTTTTAGAAAGAATATTCATCCAGAAAGATTTATCATAAAACGGGACAATGCGGAAGTAAGACCTTTATAAAGTTTAATGTAAACTCACAGGAAATCATCTGCCACAAAATGTCAAGTAGACGAAGACAAAGTTGCTTCAGAGCCTCTTAACAATGTAGCCGATGAGTGTAATGCTACTCATAGTGATACAGATTCAGATGTTGTACAGATTTCGCCTCTTTTCCTTATGGATAGTTCAGGTCATCCCATTCTACAGGATGGTATACTGTGAATTCTTTAATTATTTTTACTTTAGGTACCCCGGTTGTTGAACCTGAAGTAGTTAATTCTGAGTTGGAATTTCACTCGGCTAGTACAAGAAATGAAAAAAATCGTTTATCAAAAATACCTCCAGGATTTAGTCCAGGTGTAATGGATTGTGTAAAATGTACTGTTTGTCGCTATAAAATAGAACCATTCACTACACCTTTCAGTGTACATCCATTCCTGAAAGTATTACTTTGTAAAGTAGGTTTATCAATTTCTATTAATATTTGATTTTTGATAGCGTTGTGGAAGTTATTGTAAAAATCAAAATTTTGCAAAAGATGAATCAGGAAAAGATGAGAATTGCAAATGGTGTTCTGATGGTGGAGATCTTGTTTGTTGTGATCACTGTTCATATGCAATTTGTAAAAAGTGTATCAAGCAAAATTTAGGAAGAACTTATCTACGTGATATTGAGTCTTTAAGTGAATCTGATACATGGAATTGTTTTGTATGTGATCCAACACCTATCAAAGCATTGCAAGATAGCTGTTCTGAGGTTGGTTTTTGTTTTATTGCACTGTGATACAATTTACATGTTGTGTTTAAAATATAAGTTGTTGTATTATCTATACTTTGCTTTCTTCTGCCTTGTTTCATTACTGAACTACACGTTTTCAATCTTTACCAAAGGTTCTAATGTTTGATAATTAATGGATTCCTCGTTCAATTACATTGTTGTAAAATTATTGTCTACATAAGTGGAGTTCATCCTTAGCTCTTTGATGAAACTCATTTGATTGTGGTAGGTGTCATTGGCTTGTTTCAACTGGTAGAAAAGTGTATTATTTGATTACAGCCCGTTTAAATCTTCGATATATTGAATCTATTTTTTACCTTTTATCTTTCCATCAGTGTATTTTGGCAGTGATAATGCAAGATACTCACTATTTGTTATATATTCCGAGAGGTTATAATATGCACACTTGACTGACAGGTAACTTTGCACTCAAGATCAACCGACTCCTATTCGGATAAAATAGAAAAGACTAAAGCGAATGGGAGAATTTATTCCTCCAAGAAGAATAGTCAGTTAATCCAAAAACATATGTGTATGTATAGATTATATATAACCTTGTCCAGAATTCGAAATATTAACATGGTAAAAGCAAGCATTAACCAATCAGCAAATTACCTTAAAAATGCGGAAAAATTAAACTACTGGCCACACTGTAACAAATGATTCGATGATGATAATTTAAAAGTGTTTGGATTAATAATCAATGTTTTATGTAAATCTGAATCCGTTTAACACTACTACTGCTACTACATCTACTACTTCTTAACTCGCTAATTTTTCTACCCAAGGAATAAAATGAGTAAATCATAAGCTGCTGATGAAACTGTTTGAGATAGCTGTGATTCTGTAGACTAATCTTTATGTCATGGAGTGATGATTTTAAGTTGAAGTGCATACCTAGGCAGCTATCAGAGTGGTTACTATTCTGAGTTAGGCAGTCACCTTATATATCTTGTACAGAAGGTGTTTTACATTTTATTTTCGTGAAAAGTTTAGTTCTGTTTACATTTTGATTAACGATTTCAAAATATGTTTATAAAATCAGTTCAGTTTCAGTCTTAATGAATCAACTAGAATTATAGACTGTAGAAAAATGCAACACAAAAAAAGGATTAATACACTAAGCGCTAGTTCTCAATCGGTTATCAATTGGGTAGATAGATTTATTTTGCTTGTTGGCGCCAGGTTATAAGGAAACCTGTGACCTATGATAACTTATAGTGGTTGATCGTGTCTTTTCCCTTGGGTTGGTCTTCTTGTACTTGGCTATGATAAGTTTTTCTATATTACTTTAAACCAGTTATTGTACTATGGCATTATATACACAGGATCTTCCGTTGAAATCTGCTATGTGTTACATTCAACTATTACATTTTACTACTGAGCAATTTCCTTATGTACTGTATTTAAATTCACTCTCTTATATTAGTTTTTGTCATTTATTTAGCTCTCAGTTTTACTTAGATGTTTATAAATAATGTGGTTTTTCTTTTCTTGTCAGATTGTTGCTAAGGTTGCAGAATATGAAGCTGTGAGAAGGCGTCGATCAATAAATGCACAAGAGAAATGTCGATCACGTTGTAAAGGTCAACCTAATGATTTTAATGATGATAGTAATGCGCTGCATCATCTTCGAATCATACCAACTTTGACTCTAATTCTGTAGAAAGTGAGGTTGTTTTTTTTATTTTGATCGTGTTATCAAACTGAGTATTTTATTTGATATAGCGCGCAAGTGTACTCTACTGTAGTGCTCAAGTTTAGCTCTCTTACATGGAATATTTTGATAGGTTTTATGGAATGTTTTGTTACAAAATCGTAATAGATAATGGAATAGAATCCTATCGATAAAGATCAGCAGAGTCACACACGAGTATCTCAATGCACTGTACTCGATGTGAATGTTGAAAGATATTTGATGTAGAGCTGTACTCACAAAACGTTTGTACTAGTCTGTATTCACACTAGTATCTTTATGGATCTCAAGACTGTGGTTCAGCTTCACGGTCAAGAATGCTACCGTTGAACTATCTTCGCCATGATTGGACTACGTTCTTGAACTGTTTGTTGCATCGTAACCTCTTTTAATGGTTTATAGCATAGAGAATGGAGTATTGTCACTGAGGTTTGCTGTGAAACAATAGTGTTTGATTGAACTGTTTCTGAGCAAGAAAGTGGTGAAAGCTTACTCAATATTTCGGATCTACTCAAGTACTGTATTTTAGTATGTTTTAAATAAAAAAGTAGAATTATTTCAAGATTTGGTTATATGTCGGTCAAACTGAGCTAAGTAAGCGAAATTTACTTTCAGATTTGAAACATGGACTCTGGTCGATAAATATATATAGCCGTTTCTGGGTGATCATTGAAGGGTCAATAAAAGCCTGGGTTGCAGAAGAATTTTAACCACAAACCTCCTGGTTACCGGTCCAGAACTCTACCAATGGAATTAAGAGACCTATAGATCAGTTAGTAAGGAACTCTGGGAACAAACCAACCAAGAACCTATCGCTCAACAAATATGCACTGGAAGGAAGTGGAGATGGATTGGGCATACACTGAGGAGGCGATTGGGGACATTGCGCATCAGGCCAGTCACTGGAGTGGAACCCAGGGGAAGCGACTAGTTGGGCGTCCGAGGGTGACATGGAAGAGATCGTGCGAGGAGGAAATGAGAGCTTGTGGGCTGTCATGGAGCCAGGTTCAAAAGATTTCAAAGAAGAGAGGTCACTGGAGACGTGCTACTGAAGCCCTATGTCCCACTAGGAACCCAAGGGACAAATAATAATAACAATAACAATAGATCAGTTAGTATAATTCTAGGCTAGTAACTCAGAGGCCTCTGGTTCGAATTTTGCCCCAATCCAGATCTTCATCTATCACCCAGTAGTAATAATAGAAGTCTGCTAAACCAAAACTATGTCAGAAAGTCTTGGTACCAATTTATGACGGGTTTTTATGTTGACACGATGAATAAATGTCTTCATTTTATCTGAATTATAATTGTTAGGTTATTGGTTAGTCACCGATTTAAGCTTAGTTACAGTATGGAGCGAAATGGCTCGTTGGTTTAAGAGGGTAACATGTTCTAACCAGATAGTAGTACTTTGGAATGATGGTAGAAAATTCGTAACTTTGGATAAGGGTGACGATACTTTGGTAAGCTTTCATATTTTCTCATGGACATTTTATCACCAGGCTTAGTGACATCATCAGCGCCAACTTCATTAAAAAATGAAGCATATTCATGTGTTACACGAATGTCTATGTAGTATTCTTTCTGACCTTGAGTGCTGTCCAATTTTAAGTTGGGGAATACATTCAGTCAAGCTGGCAGAGAATCTTTTTTAGAGTGGAATTTGTGCTATATGTTACTGTCACATTGTGCTTTATTACCGTTTTTTTCCTGGTTGATTTGCACTAGGTGGCTGTTTTCGTGTAAAATTTTTAATGGGCTTCACTTTTTCGTAGAGTTATTGCTAAGGATATCATTAAAACTGACGATAAAATGTCCATAGCGAAATATCAAAACCAAGAGGAAGCCAAACTATCCTCAGATAGTAGCACTAACTTTCATTGTCTGGTAAACACGATCTTGTGTATATAGTTGTGTGTATTTACTGAGTATGCACTTTAATCGGGTATTTTTTATCACTTATTTCTTCAGATTTCATCTCTACATTGAATATGCTGCATCATCCTAATTCAATACCGATACAAACCACATTACAAATACCTGATACTCAATGTAACAGTATAAATGTGAATGAAGGTGGTAAATTAAGCAAAATTAATAACGCAAACATTTTTGTTAATCCTACACCGTTAACTACAGAATCAATTGACTTGTATAATATTTTTAATCAAATATCTAGTGTTGATGAAACAAATATTATTACAGCTTTACGAGCCTCTCAAAAGTGTTTAGATATCTTTCTTAAAGATATACGTCGTTTAGAAAATAATTTAATGCGAAATCCACCACTTATGGATCTAAGTCAAGTGGCTTATTCATTTCAAGGGATTTATAAATTTCATTTATTTACACGTTTGGGTAATTTAATTTCACGTATACAAGAAGAAGAAGAACTTATCAATAAGACATCTCAAGTTAATAGACTCCAGACAGTTCCATTTCATCCTGTTGGTTTACTTTCTCAATCAAATGTTATACCTGTTTCTATTCCAATATTAACTAATTCAACTGATGTCACAATTGATTTAACAAATGAAGATACCATTACTAGTATTGTTTGTAAACCTGATACTTCAAAGATGGAAGCAGTGTCCAGTATATCTACTGAAATGTTTCCTAAATCAATAGATACCGTACAGTCAACAACCTTAGTATCAGAGGATGATGATAATGATGATTATGATAGTAACTGTGATAAAAACAACAACAACAACAATAACAAACGTAAACCAGTGGAGTCGAAAAGTCAGAATAAGACAGATAATGGAAAGAGGCGCAAATTGGACATTATTGAATCGAATAACCAAAATCCTGAAGTAAGCGATCCTTTCACTTGTTAGTTATTTTCTGATTCACACTAAAACTGAGAATACTTTTTCTTACCGGCTAATACTACCTTATTCTGTGTTTATTTCTATGATGTATACTTTATTATTAATCTATATATATATATATATATATATATATATATATATATATATAATATATATATATATATATATCTAAAATGTCGTTGAATTATAATATAGAAAGTGTGGTTATTTTTCACTTATTTAGAATACTCAACCTTATGCAATTAAGTCTCAGTCCATCTTGAAGTTTATTGGCAAAAAAACGAGAAAATAGTGTGGAACTCCTTACAAGAGTTTCTGAGCTCTATCTGTCAAGCTATGCAACAGAACTGAAAAAAAAATCACTCTCATTAAAAAAATATTAACCTCAACACAGGAGAATTTTCGGTAGACCTAGAATACGCAGATGACATAGTCCTGTTGGGTGAAGACACTGACAAGATACAGAGTCTTGTGGACACGTTGAGTGGGAATTTGAGAATCTTTGGAATACATTTTTCACCACTCAAATGCAAATTGTTGCTCCAGGATTGGTCTTCAACCGTGCCACGGCTAACAATGGAGAGTGTAATGGTTGAGTGCGTCGACCACTTCATTAACGTGGGGAGTAGGATCAGCCGTGTTGGGTTAACGGCTGACGAAATCTCTTCAGGGATATAAAAGGCTGGGTTAGCTTTTTGCGAACTTACGGTATGTGTGGCGCTGCAACGATATCCGATTGTCCATTAAGGGTCGTGTGTAGTGCAGAGCAGTCCGGTCTGTTATACTGTATGGTTGTGAAACATGGCCACTGAAAGTGGAATACATGAGAAGGCTTCAAGTGTTTGACCATCATTGCCTTTGTAGTATAGGCGGTATTGCGTGGTATCACCACGTGAGTAATGCAGAAATCAGGTGTAGAGTTTTAGGGAGTAGAGGTGAATCAGTTGACGAGGTTATGAGAACCTTGATCTACTGAGATTGTTGAGATACGTGTTACGTATGCCCAGTCGTCGTCTGCTTCGTCACACAATGTTGGCCGAAATGGGTTCAGGATTGAAAAAGACGCGAGATGGTTAGACTGAAACATGGCACCAGTGTATGAAGTGTTTGACTGTTTGTTTGATGCATGTGGGTGGATGCAGACTAGTTGGTTGGGGTCGGCGTGACAAGAGGAACGATTGGTTGGAGACTCTAGATGCTATGGGTGAGAACCGATGTCAGTGGCACAGGTGTATACACACATTATCCTCATCTTAACGACGGTAAACCGAATCTCACCATGTTCTCATTTTTCCCTTCTCTCTCTCTCTCTCTTAGTACTTTATATTTGTTTTTGACTGAATTTTCTTATCTTCACCTTCCACTTCACTACCCTTCTAGTTGATGTAGTGATATGAGGTGTGGCAGGTTGGACCATTACGCATTAATGCCTGATCTTGTGTTGATATTGATGATGAACACATAAGATATAAGTCAGGAGGCTTGACAACAGACATATATATATATATATATATATATATATATATATATATATATATATATGTCACATAAGGTCTCAAACTATTGAATTCTATCTCTTTAGCCCGGACTACCCTACACGACTCAGAACAACAACCGGTTACGTCATGGATGACTGAAATTTATCAGTATGAATATTTTTTGCTTTCTGCTAAAGTACTCTTACTTTAACCAGCATCGCAAGTTGGAGCATGTGATGTGTAACATGTATTTCAATCACCGAAGTCAATACTGGTTTCCACTATCATAGACTGTTTTATTTTCGTTTTGAAGAATACTGTATCGTAGTTTCAGGGTTTCTTACTCTGTACTTCCCTCATATGTAAGCAATTCTTTGGAGACACTTGAAGTCTTTGTATGTCTTTTATCTTTAATGACCATGATTCACAGCTATACAGTAGAACAGAGTGGACTGCAGCCCAGTACACTAGATCCTTAATACACAATCGGATGTCGCGGCGGCTTTACTGATCGGATAAGTTGGCAAGAGCCATCTGTGACCAATGGCTGCTACCTTGACGTGGTGGTCGGGCTTGTATATCACAATGACTTGACTAGGTGGTGGAACGCTTGTTCCCTCGAGATTCTACCGTACCGGCAAGGTCTGTTGGATAGTGATTAGACAAAAGGGAGTTACCCTCACCCTTAACATGTTCTTAAACAATGAAATGAGAGATTGTGGTGTTGTAGATCAGTCATCAGTTGTTAGTGGTGATCCGAAACGATAGGACGTATGTCTGATCACACCTTCCATTATACAGGCCAATTTTCTTGGCATCGAAAAGACGGTAGGTGGTCGGCCTCTGACTCTGCGATCATACACTAGCCCTTCCTTTTCAGGTACCTCAAGAAGGCCTAGCATTCCACGGTATGGACAGCCGGGAAGTATCAACCGCCCTCACAACTCTATCAGCGCTCAAGTTTCCCACACTTATTAATAGTGATATGTTCTTTTCTTTCTTTTGTAGGATCAGTTATCTGATGAAAAATCATCTGAAGAACAAGAGTTGGAGCGAGAAGTGCATAATATGGAGCGCGTTTACACTAGATCTATTACTCATCTAACAGAACAGGTCAATGGTTATAAAAAAGAGCTTGGTTAGTTATCTGAATTATCTACCCCTAATGATAAGTAACTTTTATGAATTGATATTTTGAGGTTGAGTACTAATGATAATGATAGTGAGTAGTCTCCTTGTTGGTTATCCTATTGTGTAAGTGGTTGAAGCTTGGAGTTGGACTTCATTATTATTATTATTAGTCCCTTGGGTTCCTAGTGGAACATAGGGCTTCAGTAGCACGCCTCCAGTGACCTCTGTTCTCCGAGATCTTTTGAACCTGGTTCCACGACAGCCCACAACCTCTCATTTCCTCCTCGCATGACCTCCTCCATGTCACCCTCGGACGTCCAACTCGTCGCTTCCCATGGGGATTCCATTCGAGGGCCTGACGCGTGATGTCCTCAGTCGGCCTTCTCAGTGCATGGCCAATCCATCTCCACTTCTTCCTGCATATTTGTTGCGTGATAGGTTCTTGGTTGGTTCGTTCCCAGAGTTCCTTGTTGCTTATTTTTTCTGGCCATCTGATCTTCAGCAGCGAGCGTAAGCAGTTGTTGATGAATGTCTGTAGTTTATTGGAAATCCCTTTCGTGACGCGCCAAGTCTCTGAGCCATACAAGAGCACTGACTTGACGTTGGTGTTGAAAATCCGTATCTTGTTCCACATGCTGAGTGCGGAAGATCCCCACACTGGTTTCAGGCTAATGAACGCCTGTCTTGCTTTTCCAATTCTGACTTTGACGTCCTCGTCCGTCCCGCCTGTAGTTGAAACAGTGCTTCCTAGATAAGTGAAGGAGGTTACTTCCTTCAAGTTTCTCCCGTTGACGGTGATTGGAGTTTGTTGTTGTTGTTGATGTTGGTGGTGCGGTATCTTCATCACTTCTGTCTTCTCTATATTCACCTGAAGTCCCGTCTTAGCTGCCTCTTCTGTCAACTTGTTAGTTTTTGCCTGCAGATCTTCAAGTTTATGTGACATTAGGCATAAGTCATCGGCGAAATCCAAGTCTTCTAGGTTCTTTTCCGTCGTCCAGTGTATCCCCCTCTTCTCGCTGCCTACTGTTTGCTGCATGATCCAGTCCACCACAATAAGGAATATCATGGGGGATAGTAGGCAACCTTGTTTCACTCCTGTCTTCACTTCAAAGGCATCACTGAGCTTCCCATTGTGGATTACTTGGCATGTGGCATCTTCATATAGTTGTTGAATGAGGCGGATAAAGGTTTGCGGTACTCCGTAGTATTGAAGCAGTTTCCAAATTACTTCTCGGTCGACGCTGTCAAAGGCCTTCTCAAAGTCGATGAAGTTGAGGTATAGAGCTGATTGCCATTCTACGCTCTGTTCTATGATGATACGAAGCGTTGCAATTTGGTCAGCACATGATTTGTACTTCCTGAAGCCTGCCTGTTCCGGTCGCAGTTTTGAATCCAGTGCGTCTTTAAGCCTCTCCAGGATGATGCGGCTTAATATTTTACTTGGGGTGGATAGGAGAGTGATTCCTCGCCAGTTCTTGCAAGCACTGAGGTCTCCCTTCTTCGGCAGTTTGACAAGGTAACCCTTCTTCCAATCGACAGGTACCTTCTCTTCCCTCCACACCTTCTGCAATAGTGGTGTGAGCATGTCCGCTGTTGTCTCTGCATCTGTTCTCAGTGCTTCTGGCGGTATTCCATCTGGTCCTGCTGCTTTCCCGCATTTCAGTAGCTTTATGGCGTTCAGAACTTCCATTTTCGTTGGGGGATTTATGTTCACTTGTAATTCAGCGGCTGCAGGTGGTATTTCTGGACGAAGTGCAGGTGGTGGTCGATTCAAGAGCTTCTTGAAGTGGTCGGCCCATCGTTTCCTCTGTTTCTCTTCTTTTGTAATTAAATTTCCTTCTTCATCTTTTATTGGTTTCATCTGTGTTGGTCTCTTCCCTGATAGCAACCTGGTTATTTGATACAATGTCGTCAGGTCTCTCTTACCTGCAGCCTGTTCTGCTTCACTTGCCAGTGTGTCGTAGAAGTGTCTTTTGTCTTTGCGTGCACTCTTCTTCACTTCTTTATCCAGTGTTTTATACATTGTGCTCAGTTCCTCTTGTCGTTGAGCATCCTTGCACTGGTTTATCTTCTGTTTCACCATCCTCCTCTCCTCTATCAGCTTCCAGGTATCCGTCGAGATCCATTCCTTGTCTTCCACCTTCTTCTTTCCTAATACTGTTGTGCAGGTTTCTTTCCACATAGCTTTCAAAGACTTCCAGTGTTCTTCTACACAGGTTTCTTCAGGGATGTCCCTCGACGTCTCCCATTTTGTCTTGATGGCTGCTTTGAAGGTCTCCTTTGTAGTTTCATCCTTCAGTTTCCGAGTGTTGTACTTGAATTGAGGTCTATCACCAGCTTCCTTGAAGGCTTTCAACTTGATTTGGAAGGTTCCTTGCACTAGATAGTGGTCTGAACCTACATCTGCTCCTCTTCTTGACCTTGTGTTAAGTAGACTGCGTCTCCATTTTCTTGAGATTGAGATAAAGTCGATTTGATTTTTAGTGTGTCCATCTGGTGAAGTCCATGTCGCTTTGTGAATATCCTTGTGCCTGAACACACTGCCTCCAATCACCAAATCGTTGAATGCGCAGAATTCTGCAAACAATTCTCCATTCTCATTCATTTCACCTAGCGCCTCTCGACCCATGGTTAGTTCTCTTCCCGTGTTGTCCCCTCCCAGTTTGGCATTCATGTCGCCCATTAGAATTTTGATATCGCCAACTGACGTCTTGTCCAGTGTTGACTGAAGTTGTCTGTAGAATTCCTCCTTTTTCTCTTGCTCTGCATTATTTGTAGGTGCATAACATTGTATGATTGTGACCTTTCTTCCTTTTGAGTTGAATCTTGCTGTCATGATCCTGGAGGAGATTGGTTCCCACTGCATGAGAGCCTTCGATGCTCTTGAGGACATCATGATAGCCACTCCCTCAGTGTGCTCGTGGTTGGCGTCTGGGTGACCAGAGTAGATTATTGATTCTCCAGTTGACAGTTTGGAGAGTCCACTCCCATTCCATCTGCTCTCGCAAATCCCAAGCACTTCGATGTTATACCTTCTCATCTCCTTTGCAATCTGGGCTGCCTTACTGGGTTCAAACATCGTGCGGACATTCCATGTCCCCACGTTTACTTTCGCTTTCATCGAGAGAAGACACATCGGCCAATTGGCTTCCCGAAGGCTTTCACCAACTGGCGTCATTTCGCCTCTCCGATTCCAGCGGGGAATAAGTTTGTTTTCATTTTTTATATTTTGTTTGTGCTTTGAAGTTTCTTTAGCGGTTAGATTTGTTTTACGGGGTAGGGTTGCTAGCCCTATGCCCAACCTTCCCTCTTTACCCGGGCTTAGGACCGGCTAGTAACTAGTAAACTAGTTAACCAGGCGAGGTAGTTGGACTTCATAACTAAACGATATCAATCCTACTACTCCTATTGTCACTCAAAAAACACTAGATAACCGTTTTTCTGAAGGTGGAGAAGACAGAGGTGATGAAGATACCCAAGCAACAACAACAACAACAACCACTACTACAATCACCAATCACCACCAATGTAGGAAACCTAAAGGAAGTTGTCTCTCTCACCTACCTACTTACCTAGGCAGTATCGTTTCAACTACAAGTGGTGGTGGCACAGATGAGGATGTCAAAGCCAGGATTGGAAAGACAGCAAGACAGGCTTTTGTTAGTGTGAAATGAATGTGGATATCTGGTGCACTGCACTCAGCATAAAGCGTGAACAAGATTTGTATTTTCAACACTAGTCAGTGAAATAAGTGAGTGCTTCTATGTGATGGTTGAGAGAGTTGGTGTGTTACAAAAATGATTTCGAACAAACTACAGAAATACATGAACAGTTGGCGCCTAGGATCACTGGATAGTGAAGACCAGATAGATGGCCGGAGGGAATAAGCAAGAGGGAACTGTGACTGGCTGATAACGAACCAAGTACGAACCGATTGCACAATATATATGCCGAGGAAACTGGAGATGAGTTGGATTGGTCGTAGACTGGGAATACCGTTTTTGATCATCACGTATCAGGCCAGGCCAGGTCGTCGAGTGGAAGGCGAATGGGAAGCGATGAGTTGGGCGTCCGAGGCGAGGTTAACATATAGGAGATGGTGTGATGAAGAAACGAAAGCTTTTGGGCAGTGGTGCAGTGACAAAAAGTCGAATTCACCAGTGATTATTAAGTCATCAGTTGGATATTTTAGAGTATTTGCTTGCATTTCAGTTTGTGATATGATGTTTGCAGTTATTAACTTGGAGTAAGAGTAGTAATTTTGCTGATGTTCATAGCCTCATCATATAGAGTACACTAATGGTTCTACTTTAAACGACAGCAGTCAGATATATTTCGAACTTTAATTTTGTACACATTGAGGGACAAGTAATAAGTTATGTAGCATAATACAACGACACCTCAAAATGAAACGAAATGGGGTATATGAGATAATTTGAAGTGGTCAACAATAGGAAAGTTATCATAAGCTGTACATTGAAGAAGTCTTCATTTCTTTTCGTGTAAGTACTATTATTTTTTATGGAGGATGATGAGTGAGAAAATTGCACTGTGACACTTGTATCTAATACCTTGTCTTACCCTGCAAGACTGAAAATCCCATGAGTGAGCTGTCAGCTTATGCCTGGAGAATGTTGTCCGTGATCCCTTTTGGATGCGGCATCCCTTCTACTTCGTTGGTCTCCTGTATTTTCTTGATGATCACCTGACGATGCTGTCCTGAACGGTGCTCGTCTATCTTCACCTCCATTTTCTCTGAATCTTGTCACTGCTGTGCGATGATTATTCTTATCCTGTTCACCTGTGGTTCCAACGCCAAGTCCATGTATCGTTAGTGGCTATAACAGTTTTAAAATGATCATGATAACATCTTTTATTTGTGGTGCAGAAGTGTATCCTCCCGCACTCTAAAAAGTTTGTATACATTAAGTGATGTTAACCCAAAACAGATATCCATCATTTTGTATTACTATGTCCTGAGCGTTTTACTTTGTTATTTCTTTTAGTCATTTACAGAGGCCATCTCTTGGGTACCATGTGTAAAACCTGTTTAAACTGATAGGAATCGGTATTTCAAGATGATTTCTTTGACTGAATAACGATATCCACTACATGCAAAGATGCAGCGCTTGACCTTAATGTTACTTACAGTGTATTTTCCACTGAATAAGAACAATTTGGTAGATAGTCACTAAATGAAAAGATTTATGTAGTGGTCGAAAATAAAAGACTGTCAAAAACCACTCACTTTGAATTGATTGAGAGACAAAAGTGCCTGTAATAAGTCGTATTCAAGGTGTTCAACGTTAGCATAGACCACGTTGATTTTTTCTATAAGAAGGTATTTTTCACGTAGCAGACCGTCCGTTCTCATGAAAGCATCATATTTTTCTTATGACTTACTGTTGACAGTCGATGACCTCTTCAAAATTTGGAAAAGAACAAGACAAAGCGTATATCATACTTAGATAGACTGAACTCTAACTAATACAGTAATATTTGTCTTGTTTTTAGGGTATGATAAAATTTAAGACAGCAGGTAGTAATAGTTTAATGCAATGAGGTAAGTGTATACAGATTCGTGTACATGGATATGGTCTACACGTGTATTGTATGAAGGCTAGTTGATGTTGGCATAGGAGATAGCAACCTTATGCACATACGTACACGAGGCAATGAGCCATACCTATTGTCTGTGAGTTAGTGATACAACCTGGATGCCCAAACGTTGGTAGGTGAAGCGCGGCTCGAACCCCCTGACCCAATGATTGAAAGTTATCTCCGTAAACCATTGAGTCACAGCTATTGGTTGTTGAAGTCATCCTTTATAGATTAATATTTAAACCTATGATTTATTAGTTGTCTAAACCCCTCATTTATTATGCTGTAAACGGACTCGTTTGTACAAATTAGTTATTGAGTGACAGTCGATGTGACTACAAATTCTTGAGTGTTGATCGAGCATGTGTGTAGTGTGTGGGCGCTTAGGCTAAGCAACAAAATTTTAGTACTTTGTGTTATATTTACAGAGTAGATCGATAGGAAAACCTAGACCTAGGTTGCATGATTACAGGAGCTATTAACTCTCAGAGGATGAACTTTATGAGATTCCTTCCCTTTCTGACACCTTAACCTCTCATCTGGTATAAAAAAAAGTCGAATGAGTGTATATATTTTATTCAATCAAGAATTACACAAGTTAAAATACATCCATGCAATTTATATTATTATTATTTCCTTGGGTTCCTAGTAGAACATTGGGCTTCAGTAGCACGTGTCCAGTGATCTCTCTTCTCAGAGAATTTTTTGAACCTGGTTCCACGACAGCCCACAACCTCTCATTTCATCCTCGCACGACCTCCTCCATGTCACCCTCGGACGTCCAACTCATTGCTTCCCCATGGGGATTCCACTCGAGCAACTGGCCTGACGCGTGATGTCCCCAGTCGGCCTTCTCAGTGTATGCCCAATCCATCTCCACTTCCTCCTGCATATTTGTTGCGTGATAGGTTCTTGGTTGGTTCGTTCCCAGAGCACGTTGTTGCTTATTCTTTCTGGCCATCTGATCTTCAGTAGCGAGCCAGCGTAAGCAGTTGTTGATGAATGTCTGTAGTTTATTGAAAATCCCTTTCGTGACGTGCCAAGTCTCTGAACGATACAGAAGCATTGACTTGACGTTGATGTTGAAAATCCTGATCTTGTTCACGCTTTGTGCTGAGTGCAGAAGATCTCCACACTGATTTCAGGCTAATGAACGCCTGTCTTGCTTTTCCGATTCTGACTTTGACATCCTCGTCTGTGCCTGCATCGCCTGTAGTTGAAACAGTGCTTCCTAGATAAGTGAAGGAGGTTACTTCCTATAAGTTCCTCCCGTCGATGGGGATTGGGGCTTGTTGTTGTTGTTGTTGGAGTTGTTGGTTAGGTATCTCCATCACTTCTATCTTCTCTATATTCACCTGAAGTCCCGTCTTCGCTGTCCTGCCTCTTTTGCCAACTTGTTAGTTTTCGCCTGTAGATCTTCAAGTTTGTGTGACATCAGGCACAAGTCATCGTTGGCGAAATCCAGATCTTCTAGGTTCTTTTCCTTAGTCCAGTGTATCCCCCTCTTCTCGCTCCCCACTGTTTGTTGCATGATCCAGTCGACCACAATAAGGAATATCATGGGGGATAGTAGGCAACCTTGTTTCACTTCTGTCTTCACTTCAAAAGCATCACTGAGCTGAGCTGTCCATTGTGAATTACTTGGCATGTGGCATCTTCATATAGTTGTTGAATGAGGTTGATAAAGGTGTGTGGTATTTTGTGGTGTTGAAGCAGTTTCCAAATTACCTCCCGGTCGATGCTGTCAAAGGCCTTCTCAAAGTCGATAAAGTTGAAATAGAGAGCTGATTGCCATTCTATACTCTGTTCTATGATGATGCGAAGCGTGGCGTTGCAATTTGGTCTGCACATGATTTGTACTTCCTGAAGCCTGCCTGTTCCGGACGTAGTTTTGAATCCAGTGCGTCCTTTAGCCTATCCAGGATGATGCGGCTTAATATTTTGCTTGCTCTGGGTCGACAGGAGAGTGATTCCGCGCCAGTTCTTGCAAACACTGAGGTCTCCCTTCTTCGGGAGTTTGACAAGGTAACCCTTCTTCCAATCAATGGGCAGGTACCTTCCCTTCCTACCACACCTTCTGCAATAGTTGTGTGAGCATGTCTGCTGTTGTCTATGCGTCTGTTCTCAGTGCTTCTGGTGGGATCCCATCTGGTCCTGCTTCTTTCCCACATTTCAGTAGCTTTATGGCGTTCAGGACTTCCATTTTTGTTGAAGGATTTATGTTCACTTGTAGTTCAGTGGCTCGGCTGTAGGTGGTATTTCTGGACGAAGTGCAGGTGGTGGTGGTGGTCGATTCAAGAGATTTTCGAAGTGGTCAGCCCATCGTTTCCTTTGTTTCTCTTTTGTAATTAAATTTCCGTCATCATCTTTTATTGGTTTCATCTGTGTTGATCTCTTCCCTCCCAGGTAGTAGTAACCTGGTTATTTCATACAATGTTGTCAGGTCTCTCCTACCAGCCTGCAGCCTGTTCTGCTTTACTTGCCAGTGTTTCGTAGTAGTGTCTTTTGTCTTTGCGTGCACTCTTCTTCACTTCTTTGTCCAGTGTAGTGTTTTATACATTGTGCTCAGTTCCTCTTGTCGTTGAGCATCCTTGCACTGGTTTATCTTCTGCTTCACCATCCTCCTCTCCTCCATCAGCTTTCATGTATCCATCGAGATCCATTCCTTGTCTCATCTCTTCTTCTTCCTTCCTAATACTGTTGTGCAGGTTTCTTTCCACATAGCCTTCAAAGACTTCCAGTGTTCTTCCACACAGGTTTCTTCAGGGATGTTGCTTGATATCTCCCATTTTGTCTTGATGGCTGACTGACGTGAAGATCTCCTTTGTAGTTTCATCCTTCAGTTTCCGAGTGTTGTACTTGAATTGAGGTCTATCACCAGCTTCCTTGAAGGCTTTTAACTTGATTTGGAAGGTTGCTTGCACTAGATAGTGAGTGGTGTGAACCTACATCTGCTCCTCTTCTTGATCTGAACTTGTGTTCAGTAGACTGCGTCTCCATCTTCTTGAGATTGAGATAAAGTCGATTTGATTTTTAGTGTATCCTTGTGTCTGGTGAAATCAAATCCATGTTGCTTTGTGGATATCCTTGTGCTTGAACACACTGCCTGACTCCAATCACCAAGTCGTTGAATGCACAGAATTCTGCAAACAATTCTCCATTCTCGTTCATCGCCTCACCGAGCGCTTCTCGACCCATGGTTAGTTCTCTTCCTGTGTTGTCCACTTCCAGTTTGGCATTCATGTCGCCCCACTCATTAGAATTTTGATATTGCCAACTGAGATGGGGTCTTGTCCAGTGTTGATTGAAGTTGTCTGTAGAATTCCTCCTTTTTCTCTTCATCTGCATTATTTGTAGGTGCATAGCCAGGCATTGTATGATTGTGACCTTCCTTCCTTTTGAGTTGAATCTATCTTGCTGTCATGATCCTCATCCTGCAGGAGGAGATTGGTTCCTTCGATGCTGATGGGGACATCATGATGGCCACTCCAGAACTCAGTGTGCTCGTGGTTGTCGTCTGGGTGACAATATCGGAGTAGATTATTGATTCTCCAGTTGACAGTTTGGAGAGTCCACTTCCATTCCATCTGGTTTCGCAAATTCCAAGCACTTCAATGTGATATCTTCTCATCTTGTTTGCAATCTGTGCTGCCTTGCTATGTTCAAACATTGTGCGGACATTCCATGTCCCCACGTTTACTTTCGCTTTCATCGAGGGAGCGAAGACACATCGGCCAATTGGCTTCCCAGAGGCTTTCACCAACTGGCGTCATTTCGCCTCTCCGATTCGAGCGAGGAATAATTTTGTTTTTATTTTTATATTTTGTCTGTGCTTTGAAGTTTGTTTAGCGGTTAGATTTGTTTTACGGGGTAGGGTTGCTAGCCCTATGCCCAACCTTCCCTCTTTATTGGGGCTTATGACCGGCTAGTAACTAGTGAACTAGTTAACCGGGCGAGGTTACATCCTATACAACGAATGATACTAACTCGTTGCGCAAGTGTTTCCAAACCATCCAGTCCAATAATGGCTAGGATACCTTCAATTTTATTCAATCTCTTCAATATTTATCTGCCTTAAAAATTTTCAATGAATGTTAATTAATATTTTCAATTAATAATAACTCATTTTCTTATATTTCAGATGAAGTAAATGAGAATACTGAAGAACGGGATAAACATATTCAGGTGATTTTATGTGTGTATAACCATCTATTTTTTTCTCCATGATATCCGGTTAATATTATGCTTCAGGTTGCGTAAATTTTAGTGAAGTATCTAAAGAATAAACTAACTGAATCATGTACTTTTTGTAATTGTTTAAGATGTATTTTCCTCCATGGGTTTATATTTGTGTCGGACAACTTAAACCGGTGAAATACTATAAAACTCTCCCATTTTTAGCACAGACCATATAAATTTTGCGGTTGAAATTACGAGACTATAGTAGTGAAAGAATATTTTTTTCTCCATTCTTATTCAATTTTATCATAGATGTTCTCATGGAGGTCTGCCTCCCATCATTTGACTATACAGAGATTGACCTGATCACAGGAGAATTTTCGGTAGACCTAGAATACGCAGATGACATAGTCCTGTTGGGTGAAGACACTGACAAGATACAGAGTCTTGTGGACACGTTGAATGGGAATTTGAGAATCTTTGGAATACATTTTTCACCACTCAAATGCAAATTGTTGCTCCAGGATTGGTCTTCAACCGTGCCACGGCTAACAATGGAGAGTGTAATGGTTGAGTGCGTCGACCACTTCATTAACATGGGGAGTAGGATCAGCCGTGTTGGGTTAACGGCTGACGAAATCTCTTCAGGGATATAAAAGGCTGGGTTAGCTTTTTGCGAACTTACGGTATGTGTGGCGCTGCAACGATATCCGATTGTCCATTAAGGGTCGTGTGTAGTGCAGAGCAGTCCGGTCTGTTATACTGTATGGTTGTGAAACATGGCCACTGAAAGTGGAATACATGAGAAGGCTTCAAGTGTTTGACCATCATTGCCTTTGTAGTATAGGCGGTATTGCGTGGTATCACCACGTGAGTAATGCAGAAATCAGGTGTAGAGTTTTAGGGAGTAGAGGTGAATCAGTTGACGAGGTTATGAGAACCTTGATCTACTGAGATTGTTGAGATACGTGTTACGTATGCCCAGTCGTCGTCTGCTTCGTCACACAATGTTGGCCGAAATGGGTTCAGGATTGAAAAAGACGCGAGATGGTTAGACTGAAACATGGCACCAGTGTATGAAGTGTTTGACTGTTTGTTTGATGCATGTGGGTGGATGCAGACTAGTTGGTTGGGGTCGGCGTGACAAGAGGAACGATTGGTTGGAGACTCTAGATGCTATGGGTGAGAACCGATGTCAGTGGCACAGGTGTATACACACATTATCCTCATCTTAACGACGGTAAACCGAATCTCACCATGTTCTCATTTTTCCCTTCTCTCTCTCTCTCTCTTAGTACTTTATATTTGTTTTTGACTGAATTTTCTTATCTTCACCTTCCACTTCACTACCCTTCTAGTTGATGTAGTGATATGAGGTGTGGCAGGTTGGACCATTACGCATTAATGCCTGATCTTGTGTTGATATTGATGATGAACACATAAGATATAAGTCAGGAGGCTTGACAACAGACATATATATATATATATATATATATATATATATATATATATATGTCACATAAGGTCTCAAACTATTGAATTCTATCTCTTTAGCCCGGACTACCCTACACGACTCAGAACAACAACCGGTTACGTCATGGATGACTGAAATTTATCAGTATGAATATTTTTTGCTTTCTGCTAAAGTACTCTTACTTTAACCAGCATCGCAAGTTGGAGCATGTGATGTGTAACATGTATTTCAATCACCGAAGTCAATACTGGTTTCCACTATCATAGACTGTTTTATTTTCGTTTTGAAGAATACTGTATCGTAGTTTCAGGGTTTCTTACTCTGTACTTCCCTCATATGTAAGCAATTCTTTGGAGACACTTGAAGTCTTTGTATGTCTTTTATCTTTAATGACCATGATTCACAGCTATACAGTAGAACAGAGTGGACTGCAGCCCAGTACACTAGATCCTTAATACACAATCGGATGTCGCGGCGGCTTTACTGATCGGATAAGTTGGCAAGAGCCATCTGTGACCAATGGCTGCTACCTTGACGTGGTGGTCGGGCTTGTATATCACAATGACTTGACTAGGTGGTGGAACGCTTGTTCCCTCGAGATTCTACCGTACCGGCAAGGTCTGTTGGATAGTGATTAGACAAAAGGGAGTTACCCTCACCCTTAACATGTTCTTAAACAATGAAATGAGAGATTGTGGTGTTGTAGATCAGTCATCAGTTGTTAGTGGTGATCCGAAACGATAGGACGTATGTCTGATCACACCTTCCATTATACAGGCCAATTTTCTTGGCATCGAAAAGACGGTAGGTGGTCGGCCTCTGACTCTGCGATCATACACTAGCCCTTCCTTTTCAGGTACCTCAAGAAGGCCTAGCATTCCACGGTATGGACAGCCGGGAAGTATCAACCGCCCTCACAACTCTATCAGCGCTCAAGTTTCCCACACTTATTAATAGTGATATGTTCTTTTCTTTCTTTTGTAGGATCAGTTATCTGATGAAAAATCATCTGAAGAACAAGAGTTGGAGCGAGAAGTGCATAATATGGAGCGCGTTTACACTAGATCTATTACTCATCTAACAGAACAGGTCAATGGTTATAAAAAAGAGCTTGGTTAGTTATCTGAATTATCTACCCCTAATGATAAGTAACTTTTATGAATTGATATTTTGAGGTTGAGTACTAATGATAATGATAGTGAGTAGTCTCCTTGTTGGTTATCCTATTGTGTAAGTGGTTGAAGCTTGGAGTTGGACTTCATAACTAAACGATATCAATCCTACTACTCCTATTGTCACTCAAAAAACACTAGATAACCGTTTTTCTGAAGGTGGAGAAGACAGAGGTGATGAAGATACCCAAGCAACAACAACAACAACAACCACTACTACAATCACCAATCACCACCAATGTAGGAAACCTAAAGGAAGTTGTCTCTCTCACCTACCTACTTACCTAGGCAGTATCGTTTCAACTACAAGTGGTGGTGGCACAGATGAGGATGTCAAAGCCAGGATTGGAAAGACAGCAAGACAGGCTTTTGTTAGTGTGAAATGAATGTGGATATCTGGTGCACTGCACTCAGCATAAAGCGTGAACAAGATTTGTATTTTCAACACTAGTCAGTGAAATAAGTGAGTGCTTCTATGTGATGGTTGAGAGAGTTGGTGTGTTACAAAAATGATTTCGAACAAACTACAGAAATACATGAACAGTTGGCGCCTAGGATCACTGGATAGTGAAGACCAGATAGATGGCCGGAGGGAATAAGCAAGAGGGAACTGTGACTGGCTGATAACGAACCAAGTACGAACCGATTGCACAAGAAATATGCAGAAGCAGGAAGTGGAGATGGATTGTATTGGATATACACTGAGAAGACCATTTGGGGACATCACGCGCCAGGCCAGGTCGTCGAGTGGAAGGCGAATGGGAAACAATGAGTTGGGCGTCCGAGGTGAGGTTAACATATAGGAGATAGTGTGACGATGAAACGAAAGCTTTTGGGCAGTGGTGGAGCCAAGTTGAAAAGACTGAATAGAGAAGAGTGACATGGTGACGTGCTACTAAAGCCCTATATCTCACTAGGAACCCTGGATAAAAGTAAATAGTTGTAATAATAATACTGTTTCAATTCTTTACAGAATAGAATTCGGAAAATCAATATCTTCCACGGGGTATATTACTATCTAGTTACAGGTTTTTATAATTCAGTGATTAATATTCCTTAACTCGTCATCTGTGTTTTCGTCTACTAACGTTTGCAACCAAAAAAGCACAACACAAATCTTTCTAATTTAATCTTACGTGTTGATTTGAGTCGGATTATCTGGTTTCATGTTTTTTTTTCTGTCGATCTTACCAGGGTAAGCCGAGAAAGCTAGATTGAACTTTATTCCCCGAGTGACAAAAAGTCGAATTCACCAGTGATTATTAAGTCATCAGTTGGATATTTTAGAGTATTTGCTTGCATTTCAGTTTGTGATATGATGTTTGCAGTTATTAACTTGGAGTAAGAGTAGTAATTTTGCTGATGTTCATAGCCTCATCATATAGAGTACACTAATGGTTCTACTTTAAACGACAGCAGTCAGATATATTTCGAACTTTAATTTTGTACACATTGAGGGACAAGTAATAAGTTATGTAGCATAATACAACGACACCTCAAAATGAAACGAAATGGGGTATATGAGATAATTTGAAGTGGTCAACAATAGGAAAGTTATCATAAGCTGTACATTGAAGAAGTCTTCATTTCTTTTCGTGTAAGTACTATTATTTTTTATGGAGGATGATGAGTGAGAAAATTGCACTGTGACACTTGTATCTAATACCTTGTCTTACCCTGCAAGACTGAAAATCCCATGAGTGAGCTGTCAGCTTATGCCTGGAGAATGTTGTCCGTGATCCCTTTTGGATGCGGCATCCCTTCTACTTCGTTGGTCTCCTGTATTTTCTTGATGATCACCTGACGATGCTGTCCTGAACGGTGCTCGTCTATCTTCACCTCCATTTTCTCTGAATCTTGTCACTGCTGTGCGATGATTATTCTTATCCTGTTCACCTGTGGTTCCAACGCCAAGTCCATGTATCGTTAGTGGCTATAACAGTTTTAAAATGATCATGATAACATCTTTTATTTGTGGTGCAGAAGTGTATCCTCCCGCACTCTAAAAAGTTTGTATACATTAAGTGATGTTAACCCAAAACAGATATCCATCATTTTGTATTACTATGTCCTGAGCGTTTTACTTTGTTATTTCTTTTAGTCATTTACAGAGGCCATCTCTTGGGTACCATGTGTAAAACCTGTTTAAACTGATAGGAATCGGTATTTCAAGATGATTTCTTTGACTGAATAACGATATCCACTACATGCAAAGATGCAGCGCTTGACCTTAATGTTACTTACAGTGTATTTTCCACTGAATAAGAACAATTTGGTAGATAGTCACTAAATGAAAAGATTTATGTAGTGGTCGAAAATAAAAGACTGTCAAAAACCACTCACTTTGAATTGATTGAGAGACAAAAGTGCCTGTAATAAGTCGTATTCAAGGTGTTCAACGTTAGCATAGACCACGTTGATTTTTTCTATAAGAAGGTATTTTTCACGTAGCAGACCGTCCGTTCTCATGAAAGCATCATATTTTTCTTATGACTTACTGTTGACAGTCGATGACCTCTTCAAAATTTGGAAAAGAACAAGACAAAGCGTATATCATACTTAGATAGACTGAACTCTAACTAATACAGTAATATTTGTCTTGTTTTTAGGGTATGATAAAATTTAAGACAGCAGGTAGTAATAGTTTAATGCAATGAGGTAAGTGTATACAGATTCGTGTACATGGATATGGTCTACACGTGTATTGTATGAAGGCTAGTTGATGTTGGCATAGGAGATAGCAACCTTATGCACATACGTACACGAGGCAATGAGCCATACCTATTGTCTGTGAGTTAGTGATACAACCTGGATGCCCAAACGTTGGTAGGTGAAGCGCGGCTCGAACCCCCTGACCCAATGATTGAAAGTTATCTCCGTAAACCATTGAGTCACAGCTATTGGTTGTTGAAGTCATCCTTTATAGATTAATATTTAAACCTATGATTTATTAGTTGTCTAAACCCCTCATTTATTATGCTGTAAACGGACTCGTTTGTACAAATTAGTTATTGAGTGACAGTCGATGTGACTACAAATTCTTGAGTGTTGATCGAGCATGTGTGTAGTGTGTGGGCGCTTAGGCTAAGCAACAAAATTTTAGTACTTTGTGTTATATTTACAGAGTAGATCGATAGGAAAACCTAGACCTAGGTTGCATGATTACAGGAGCTATTAACTCTCAGAGGATGAACTTTATGAGATTCCTTCCCTTTCTGACACCTTAACCTCTCAACTGGTATAAAAAAAAGTCGAATGAGTGTATATAGTTTACTCAATCTCTTGAATATTTGTCTGCCTTAAAAATTTTCAATGAATGTTAATTAATATTTTCAACTAATAATAACTCATTTTCTTATATTTCAGATGAAGTAAATGAGAATACTGAAGAACGGGATAAACATATTCAGGTGATTTTATGTGTGTATAACCATCTATTTTTTTCTCCATGATATCCGGTTAATATTATGCTTCAGGTTGCGTAAATTTTAGTGAAGTATCTAAAGAATAAACTAACTGAATCATGTACTTTTTGTAATTGTTTAAGATGTATTTTCCTCCATGGGTTTATATTTGTGTCGGACAACTTAAACCGGTGAAATACTATAAAACTCTCCCATTTTTAGCACAGACCATATAAATTTTGCGGTTGAAATTACGAGACTATAGTAGTGAAAGAATATTTTTTTCTCCATTCTTATTCAATTTTATCATAGATGTTCTCATGGAGGTCTGCCTCCCATCATTTGACTATACAGAGATTGACCTGATCACAGGAGAATTTTCGGTAGACCTAGAATACGCAGATGACATAGTCCTGTTGGGTGAAGACACTGACAAGATACAGAGTCTTGTGGACACGTTGAATGGGAATTTGAGAATCTTTGGAATACATTTTTCACCACTCAAATGCAAATTGTTGCTCCAGGATTGGTCTTCAACCGTGCCACGGCTAACAATGGAGAGTGTAATGGTTGAGTGCGTCGACCACTTCATTAACATGGGGAGTAGGATCAGCCGTGTTGGGTTAACGGCTGACGAAATCTCTTCAGGGATATAAAAGGCTGGGTTAGCTTTTTGCGAACTTACGGTATGTGCGGGGCCGCCGTGATATCCGATTTTTATTAAGGATCTTTTTTAGTGTTCTTTCTTCGTCTCTGTTCTGCTGTATGGCCGTTAGTCATGATGTCAGAGGTATAAGACACGAGAAGGTCACCATTGCCTTCGTAGCAGAGACGGTGTTTCGTGGTGTCACGAAGTGAGTGACACCGTAGTCAGGTGGGGAGTTCTATATAGAAGATGTAAATTAGTTGATGCGCTTTTCAACCTTCATCGTCTGAGATAGCTGGGACATGTTTTATGTATACCTACTCACCGTCTGCCTCATCACACAATGTTTTCCGAAGTATGTTCAGGCTGTTAAAAGGATCGGGACGGCCAGACTAAAACATAGCTGAGTAAATGAAGTTGTTGACTGTTGGTTTGCGCAATTTAGTGCGATATAGACTAGCTGGTTGGGGTCTGTGGGACAAGAGAAACCAGTGTTTGAATACTGTGGGTGATATGGCTCAGAGTCCATGTCAGGGGTGCTAACGTATACACAGACATTATCTTCATCTTAACCACTATACTTGATCACATCATTTTCACATTTTTTCCTCTTCTCTTTTACTTCTTATACTTCTTTTGACTGTTTTTCCTTTCCTTCTTCATCTTCCATTTCATTGCCTTGTTATTTGATGTGCTGATATGAGGTGTGGCAACTTGGATCGTTACTCAATAGTGCCTGGTCCTATATGGATCTTGATGATGATGGAATCAAATCGTCAATATTTCCTACTTCTGTCAGTTCACGATATAGCATGATCTTCGTCCAATGCCTTCACTGAGTAACTGTCTTCAAAGTCGACTTGGTTAGCATTAGATGGAGGTGGTGCTATATCGTGAATTAACAGAACTAGGTAATATGAACCGTTGGATTCAAAGCCAGCGGCTCGATGGTAACGTGCTGACTGCGGGACCTGAAGATCCTGGATTCGACTCCTGGTGGTGTGGGGTCATGGGTGCGCACTGCCGAGCAATCCTGTACAAAGAAGAAACGGCTCTCCAGTGCTGTCATGTTTCCAGTGTTTCTCCAACTGATGTCAGTCCATAGGGGATACCAACCTGAAATCAATAAATAAATCCCTTCCAACCTCCAAATTAAAAGAGTATTTTTTCATATATCATAAATGAATTGAAGTAAAACAATGACGAATATTTGGTTAGGCGAAAATAGATCATCCATATCTTGCCGCAACACTCGTACCTACGAAAGTTTTAGAAGCGTGGTATGATCACTATTCTTTACATTGTCTCAAAATTTTATTTGAACTTCCTGTTAAGTTTTATTCAACTGCTCGTTTAATACTTTGTTTTTCGGCTATGAGGTCTTCGTAGTTGTTTGTGCTGTTGTGTATACCTAAAAGCCTTTTCTTATTCTTCTACAATTTAGAATACTACAAATAAAAACACTGCTGGTCAACGCAAAAATCCTCGATGTAAAACAACTAATCAAGAGTTAGATGGATTTGAAGATGATTCATGGTCCATTGAAGATAATTTAAATTCATCACTAAATAATATAGATGCCAATTTTGATGGTTCTGAATCGAATGATCATTTGATCTATGGGGATGATGATACTGCCAGTGAGATGAAAATCTCTCGACAAAACCAACTGGACAGTAAAACAAATGATTATTTGCAGAATTTGAATGCTCGTGATGATTTGCTAAAATCTAGTTCAGATGAAAATGATAGTGATAATGTTGGGGATATAGTAAGCGATGAAAAGGTTATAGGTAGCAGTAAGAGCGAGAAACAGACGTCTGATAATTCTAACCAGCTTATTAATGCTACTACTACTACTACTAATGATAATAATAATGCTGATATTGATGGTACATTTGATCATGATCATTCACTAACTGGTAACTTGAATGATTCTCATGAGGAGACACCTTTGGTTACTGATTCAGAAACGAGTATAGGTGCATCCTATCCAGTTGTGCATTTAACCCGGTAAGTTATGTTATTTTGTGTACTTCACTGATTTTATTGTAACTGGTGCTTATATATATATGTCCCAGATGCAGAAGGTCATGAAATAATGTATCACTTTATAGTGTGTGCCACAGTGACCTAATACACACAAAATTCTCTAGTATTACTATTCGCTTATAAATAACCATTCACCTTTCATATTAGTCTTTAAGTATTCCATTCTTCTAAGCTAATTATTACGGTAATATTCATCAAGAGAGTGGTTTTTCTTTCCGTCTTATTTTAGATGATGTTCGAAATATTTTTGATAGAAGTGTATTTATTCATGTATCCAGTTAATATTAATTTGTAAAAAAGAAACTCAATCACAACCTTCTATATTTAGGTTTCAGCAACTCTGTCACTTTTTTAGATGCTGAATTCTCAACTATTTGTTGCTAAGATTAAACTTATGGGATTGATCTAAGTAGACGAAATAGTAGGATTCTTTACTCCGGAACTGTTAAGGTTATCCAGATTAAAATTAAGTCGATGAATTGCAATATCGTTTGGCCTACAGTTGAAAGTCTCAGATTTTGAGAATATTGTTTATTTTATCAACTTATATGTTAACACAGTGGATTAGCAATATGGCTTTCAAATGGAGTTTTCACCAACTGGAAAACCATTGAAAAATTGGACAATGATTTTGTCCTAGTTTCAGCACTTCTTAGCGATGCGCAGCTATGTATAATGACCCCCATGTGGTGGACCAAAGCTTACCGATACCTCATAAACCTTTAAATGAAGTGGCAATGTTATTGGTTTTTCAGGATGAAAAGTTGCCTAGTTTGAAGATGGGCTTCAGTTATAATTAAGATAAGAGATATATCTCACTTTTCACCTTTACATGTGAAAGTAGAAAGGTAACCATACAATAGGGGTGGTACTTTAACTATATATATATATATATATATATATATATATATATATATATATATATATATATATATATATATATATATATAACGATGTAATGCTTCGATGCGATACGATTAATGATAAAACAATGACTCCTCATCACAATATTCACCTGATACCAGAAGTGTTAAATGAACCAATCAGCGTTTAGTATCCTAAACCGCGGAGCAAAAAGGCACGAAAGTAAGGTTTAAATTTTACAATGATGATATATGCATATTATAAGTTAGTTTTTCTTAGGGATTAGGCATCCCTAATATATATATATATATATATATATATATATATATATATATATATATATATATATATATATATATACTTGTTAACGGATATAGTGGTTCTTTCAATTACTTAACTTTGAAGGATTACTTGTTTACTGAGTGCTTTTATTATATTTTATCTTTCTTTTGACTCACTCTTTCTCTTAAAATTATAATCTCTATTAAAAATTTTTAATTTTATCTATATGCATATGATTTAGTCTTATCAAAGCCGCTTTAAATCAAAATATGAATGATGATGATGATGATGATGGCAAAGTGATTAAAGCTCGTTGTTCAACACTTGATGATACCAGTGGTGCTGCTGCTGCTGCTACTGCCGATAATGATGATGATAATGAAAATACAGATGATAAAGATAGTCAGTCAGAATTCCGTTCTAATGGTAAAGATATTGTAAGTTCTAGAAATTCTAATAGTCATCAAAAAATGAGACGCTTACCCTCCAGTTCTGAATCTGATGATAATAAGCATAATAATGATGATGAAAGTAAACAAGGCTTCTCTAATGAGTCAAGTGATTCTGAGCCACTCAAAGTTAGACGGAAAGGATCAACTTCTCATCGAACTATGAGATCACAAAGACGACTATCAAACAAATCAGCTGTTCGTCATTCTGATAATGATTATGAAGGTGGACTAAGCTTATCTAATGTGTCAAGTAATTCTGAGCCATCCAAAGTTAAACAGAAGAAATTAACCTCTCATCGAACTATGAGATCACGAAGACGAGCATCAAACAAATCAGCTGTTTGTCATTCTGATAATGATGGTGATGATAATGATGACACTGTTGACCATCATGATAATGACACAGAGAAAGAAGAAGAGAAAAAAGGGAAAGTGAAGCTGGAGGATTTCAGTTCATCATCTGATGAGATGGACAACATAGACCGTCGACGCAAACCTTGTCATAAGAGAAGACGGAGACGTTTACGGAAAGAAAATTCAGATGATGACAATGGTGAAGATGAACAAAAAGATAACCTAAAGGATGAGAAAAACAAACAACAAAACGATGAGCAGGAAAATGATGATACACTGGATGCTAAAGGTCGCAAAAAGATTAGAAGAATTTATAATAATAACCGGTTGTCTGAAACTACAAAGGCTGCGGAAGCTAGTGAACAAGAGCGTCGACGTCGTTTAGCTGAAAGACAGAAAATGGTACGTTATTTGTGTCTGTTTTCATATTATATGCGGTAGAATAAGTGATGATTTACTTTTTGTACAACGTTCTTCTTTTGGCCTTTGGCTGTGTTTATCAGTTAAGTGTTTCTGTGGACTTAAGGACTATGTTCTCACTAAGATAGAAAAATCTACACTGTTCAGGACTGTAGACTTTGTCAGTGAGGTTTTTCTCACGATCTCAGTATGATATTGAACCACACAGTCTGGTAGGGGCATTGTTTTCTGCGATCGATAGTGCCAGATCATCACTGAGTGAGTACATAGTCATTACCTTGGTTGTTATCTGGTGGCAGTTAGTAGTAAGAAGAAAATGGTTAGATTAGCAGGCGTAGATAGTTTTCTCAAAATTCAATATCAAAGTGATGATGATCTTACAAAAGTGAGCGAGCTTGAGAACTTTGTAGTAAAGTCGAGATATACCAAAGCACTATGTAACGTTGGATTTCTAGACTTAATTTTAACTTTGTATGAAATATTTGGTGAAATTATAGGACCAATTACGGTGACACTAATCTGGTCTCAACTTCTGATTAGCCTCCTATTGTAGAAATAGACTGCCCGTTACATTTTAGGAAATTTTGTGCAAGATGAAATCGTTAAATGTTATAGTAGCGGGAGTTCCTCTGCGGGTATCTGTTATTCTACAGACGTTAGGTTGAAAATAATGAAGAAAGCATTTTCGAGGAAGCTTTTTTCTGAGATTAAGACAGGTTGGTTACTAATCTTAACCGCTTGATAGAATAATCAGTAGAAGAGCGTATTTCTTTTAAAAAGCAGATTTCACTAATCTTCCAGGTTTCTTTTATTTGCCTTCGATTACACCCATTTATGAGCAATCGTTTGGTTATTTGGTTTCCACTTTCAACGAGAAGAGCTCACAGTAACGTTCACCTGTTGAATAAATGCTTTCTCCTCGGAAACATTTCACTTGACTAGTTTGCTTATGTTAGTTAACCATAGCAGTAGTTCAATTTGAAATCAATAGACCAACTGGCCTTCCTGTGATCCTAGCTCATTTGGATAAAAGTTGAACTTGCTATACAGGCTGAAAGTTACTTGTCGGTAAAGTATATTTCCTGAATAAACTAAAAATCTCAACCCTTGATTAGGTTTAATGTGACTACTTCACTTACTTTTGGAGTTGTATCACCTCGAATAAGCTGTTTACTGACAAAATCTTAGCTTGGATACAGAACGTCTAACTGGCATTTGCCAACTTGTCATCTGTGGCACCGACTGGCGAAATATCTGACCTCCTGTTAAAGGATGAGTATACTACTCTGTGGTTCGGTCTCTCCTATTATTTTTCTGTGAAAGTTGGCTGTTGGAAGTGAGAGACTACAGATTTTCGAACACATGTTTCTTGGTAGCATTGCTTGCATGTGGTGGAACCACTGTGTTAGCAATGTTGATGTCAGGCTAAAAATACTAGTTAAGGATGGCAAGCCAGTCGATAAAGTTGTAAACTTTAAACGACTGAGTTAGCTTGCACATATGTTGCTCATGCTGAGCCATCACTTACTTACCTCGAGGCACAATGTTAGTCGGAGTAAGGTTGCATTGGAGAAAAATCCACGGTCAGACTAAGACGTGACACCAGTGGATGGAGTCTGTGATTGTAATTTGAGTCGTGTAGAGAAGTGTAGCTTACCTTTTTGGAGTCCTGGAAGCAAAAAGAATCAATGGTTGGAGACTCTTGGTGACATGACTGAAAAATGGTCATAATAGCGAAGATGTATTCACTCGTCGAAAGCTTGTAAAGTCTGAACTTTTTCACTAGGCTTGATTTTTAAAAGTTCTCTCTCCTCCTATACACTTTTGTGTACTCTGATATCAGTGTTTAGCTACCCAGTTGTCTACATGGCACTGTGTAGTGTAGTGTAGTGTAGTGTAGCAATATGAACTGATTCACTTCTGTACTAGTTTCTAAGATGACTTTTCCTGTCCGTTTGCCTACATTTAATGTGGATTCAGATTTTTGGCGTTTATTGCGTACATTTTCACTTGTTACTTTTATGTTGGTGTGGATTGCATTACATTGCAGTATTTAGGATAAAATATGCCTTTTAGAGTGTAGCAACTCCTTTATTTATACTTAGCGTTTTGAGACAACACAATAGACAATTGGTTAAGTTAATCTAGACTTCCTTACTAGTAAATTGTGAAACATCTTATCTTTAGAAACCTAGATTACGTAAACAAGACTAGGAACTGTAAGTTAGTGTCCATCCATCCAAATCAACATAGGACCAGGCATTAATGCGTAACGGTCCAACTTGCCACACCTCATATCACTACATCAACTAGAAGGGTAGTGAAGTGGAAGATGAAGATAAGAAAATTCAGTCAAAAACAAATATAAAGTACTAAGAGAGAGAGAGAGAGAGAAAGGAAGGAAAAATGAGAACATGGTGAGATTCGGTTTACCGTCGTTAAGATGAGGATAATGTGTGCATACACCTGTGCCACTGACATCGGTTCTCACCCATATCATCTAGAGTCTCCAACCACTCGTTCCTCTTGTCACGCCGACCCCAACCAACTAGTCTGCATCCACCCACATGCATCAAACAAACAGTCAAACACTTCATACACTGGTGCCATGTTTCAGTCTAACCATCTCGCGTCTTTTTCAATCCTGAACCCATTTCGGCCAACATTGTGTGACGAGGCAGACGACGACTGGGCATACGTAACACGTATCTCAACAATCTCAGTAGATCAAGGTTCTCATAACCTCGTCAACTGATTCACCTCTACTCCCTAAAACTCTACACCTGATTTCTGCATTACTCACGTGGTGATACCACGCAATACCGCCTATACTACAAAGGCAATGATGGTCAAACACTTGAAGCCTTCTCATGTATTCCACTTTCAGTGGCCATGTTTCACAGCCTTACAGTAGAACATAGCGGACTGTAAATTAGTGTACTCATTTAACTTTCATCAAAAATAACTGAGTTAAACTTGCATAACAAAAAAGATGTAATTGTAATTGTTGCATTGTACTCGGACAATTTCAACAGGCCAACTAGTCTAACTTAATGAATTTAAGTAGTTAATTATAAATGAATTTTAGCATGTATTTATAGAAATTTGAAAGTAGTAATGTTTGTATACATAGAGTTAAACATTAGATTTTGTAGTGACTACATTTCCAATATTCTTCTCAATATCTAGTAAGAACTTACCTCACAAATTCATTTTTAGATAAGTTACCTTCATCCTTCTGTGTATAATATGCATTCGTCATATTCATTTATTACTTCAAATAAGTAGAAAAGTTTGAAATATAAAATACCTCAACTCCATTAGTTAATTCCTCACAGTACAACTATCCATGTCATATTGTTTAGGAGCTTAGTAGTGACTGAATTCGACTATAAATGTATTCACATCGAATTTTTTATAAATATTTATCGGTAGCAAGTGAATTTCTGTCTAATAGTTCATTCCATATAGTGGCTTTATTTCTTTCCTACTTCTCTTCTAGTATAATGACTTTATTGTTCAAGATGGTGAAGGAATCAATTCAGTTACAACGAAATTGATTTTAGATCCCGGTGATCCTGTTGTTGAAGTTCATCCAGATATATTAAAACACCTGAAACCGCATCAAGTTGAAGGTACACGGTGTTTTGATACTAATATTGTTTTTTATTTGACTATCTGAGGTAGTCGTAGCTTGGCGGACTAATATTTCTACTGGGTGATGATTGAAGGTGAAATGAAAATTTTTACCACGACCGGACTCGAACCAGCCACCACCGGGTTCCCAGCCTGATAGTCTACCAGCTGAACTATGAGGTCCGACTGCTGACCAGATTTTTATTTCATTTCAATCACAAGTGGGGTTTTGTCTGACTACCATGTGAATTCGTGACGCATTATTACCACTTGATCGTATTCACACTGGCTGCCTAGTCAGCATCGGGCCGTAAGCCCGGTGGTCGCTGGTTCAAATTCGGCCGCAGTCCAAATTCTCATTTCACCTTCAATTGTCACCCAGTATAATCTTGTTTTGTTTGGTAAAAATGAATGTACGTTAGAATTAATAAATTTCTTGTATTAGCCAAGTGATTACCATCTAATTTTTAAAGTATCGTGAGATGATTTTTGTTGATTACTATTATAGGCTTCTAGTAATGGAATACATTTAAGGAGCGTACCGTTAGTATAGTGTGGCTGTAGTATTTACACAGAGTTGTAGGAAAATGCTTATTTGCGTCATTGAAACGGTTGTTCAGTGAATGAGATATTAGAATGTCAACTATTTGGTTATTAGTTCGAATTTCATCCCAATTATCGCTGTTTTTACAGCTGTGGTTACTATCATTGGTTTATTCACTGGGTTTAGGACTCATAGTTTAACATAAAAACTTACATCTTGATACAGAATTACAATAATGTTATCCGTGCAGTATTATAATGTGGTGATTCTTTTCAGAGTAGTAAACCGTGATTTAACTAAAACCATTATATAAAGTGTTCACGTATTGTCAGGTGTTTTTCTATCTGAGTGAGGAAAAATAACTAACATCCCTAATTTTTTAAAGCAGACAATTTCCGAAACTGTATAAAACGATATTATTTTATGAACTGCCAAATAGTCTGTCTATCCCATCAACGTTCCTATTGACACTGTGTGTAAATTTCTGATAAGATAAACTTCGAAAACCTATAATAAAGGTTTCCACGCAGCTTTTTAGGAAGTCAAGATCGCTGCAGTGACCTAGTAGATAACCTTTTCCTGCCCGTTAGCTGCAAACATGATGTGGCTTGCACATCACAATGACCCAACGAGCTATACTACCTGGAACCCTTGTTCCCTCGAGATCCTGCCATCCCAGAAAGGTCTATTGGATAGTTGTAAGCCGAAAAGCAGTTACCGTTGCAGTGTAAAATTACTACACTATGTATTATGGGGGTCTGAGGGCGAAGTCGTACTGCTTCTAGCTGGGTGGGATGTGACAGGAGTAGTCTGTTTTCCTTGGAGGACCGGAGGCGCCAACATCCACCCTAATTCTGAATGGGACGTAGATGTCGGTCCTCCAGCTCTCCTTAAAGTTGAGAAAGCTGTGTCGAACGTACAACGATACAAAGCAACAAGACCTTGAAAGTTTGCCACCCGACGTTTTCATAGATGGATGTAGGAAATTGCTGCCTTAAATCACGAAGGTGGTACTAGGTAGTGTGGTGGAATGAGAGGTAGTGCCATCTGGCTGCTGTACTTCACTGGTCATACTAGAAGAAGGCGGAGAAACCTTTCGACAGCCATAGGGAATTAGTCTGATCAATATTGTTTGCAAGATCCTAAGATCCATAGTTATCCGATGCCTCACTTAAGCTCGATAATAGCAAACTTGAGAAAGCCAGGCAAGTTTCACACCTGGATGAGGGTGCATCGATCATATTTTCACCCTCCAACAGGATCTGGGACACAGGCATAACCACTGGCTGTCGACACTTGACATATTTTTTGGCCTGAAGTTGGCATTTGACTCAGTCGACCATGAGGTGTTGTGGCAGTGTCTGGCTGTGAAGGGAGTACCGAGTAAGTATATAGGGTTTGTCAAAGCTATTTACTCAAACAGCCGGCTTATGGTGAGTTATTTTCAGAATTGACGACAACTAGTGGTGTCCACCAGGGATTGTCCATTGTCGGCGTTCCTATTTAACTTTCTTATAGACGTAGTAATAAATATAACCTTAGGTACGTCTGACTTCACAGGAATTGACCTACTCCCTAAAGGTCATCTGATTGACTTGGAATATGCTGACGATTTGTCCTGTTAGGTGAAAACCCTAACACATTCCGGGGTTTTGTGAACGCGCTGAGCAGAAATTTGAGTGTTTGGCTTGTGTTTCACTGAGACCTGTCAAACGTAAGATGACGCTCTACCACTGGTCTGGTGGAAGTACTCCCAATTTAATGATAGTGAGTGGAGTGTTGGAGTGTATCGACCACTTCATCTACTTGCGGAGTTGCATCAACCCGAACGGGTTAGTTGCTGAGGAAATCCCAGCTCGGATACAGAAGGCCGGTTTGGCATTTGCCGACATGCGTCACCTATGGCACCGACTGTCGAGATATCCGACTATCTAATAAGGGATCAGTATACTGCACTGCAGTCCATTCTGTCCTGTTATACGAGTGCTAGACATGACCATGGAAAGTAGAAGTCGTGAAGCGGTTACAGGGTTTTGATCACAGATGCACTACGCATGCCGATCCACAGCCTACCTCGAGATGCCATATTAGGGAATGTTAGATTAGTTTGGAAGAAAGTTGAGGTTGGTCACAGCAAGATGTAGGACCAATTGATGACGTCTGTTACTGCTGGTATGAGTCGTGTCTTCAGATGTAAAGTCCCCGAGACGAAAACATGAATGAATGGTTGAGGACTCTTAATGATTTGGCTGAAAGTCGATCACAGTGGCGCAGATGTATTCCTTGTTTTGATTTCTTCTAACGCTTGAATGGTTTGACTAACCTTCATTTTTAAATCTCCTCTCCTCCCATACACCTTTGTCTATTTTGATATCAGTCTTTACTATCCACTTGTTCTCTTCATACTACTGTGAATTGTAGCAACTTGAGCTAATGGAGTTGTGTGCGAGATTCTACGTTGATTTTGTCTGTCTGTGTCATATCAGTAAAACATCAGTCAAAGCAGCAATGGAAACATTGCAAAGCTAACATTGTAGTAAATCTTTCAATTGTATTACCACTTTTACTTTTTGGAGTTTCAAGTAGTCAACAGTAGTTAAGCTAAATGTCAGTAGCTCACGCCATCCATGCGATGGTCAAACTAACCATCGCACAATTGCATAATTACTTCATTTTTATCCCCTCTATATTTATGTCTTCCTACCTGTTTATTTTACTGTTTTTCATTGGCCACCCTATCAACGATCGAAATAATCAATTAGATTTCTTCATTTCGTCTGGAAAGACAGATTTTCAAAAAATCGACAAGTTTAGTTGGTCATTTCAGTTGTTGCTAGGGTGGCCTTTAAAGTCGCTCTTTTTCATTCCATTCTTTATTTTCCCTAACGTTGACCGGTGCATCTTTATGTAAGGTTTCTATGTAATGACGACAAAATCTGGAGTGATAACGAGTTCGAACCTTGTTCTTCTCAGTAGTCTTAGTCTTTTCTACTTATCATCCATTCGGAATTAAAGTTACACACACACACATTTCTTTATCGACTATTTCATTGTACGGTAATTATAAACTATCATTGATGTTTCACTTTTGATTCTTTGTATAATTGAATTTTACTGAAGGCTAACTTGACAGAAATGCCATTTTTATGCTTAAGGTGAGTTTTCAATGTTAGATGAAGTCATTTAAACAATTGTTAGATAACTGACGAAATCTACCTATTTATTCATGAATAAGAAGAACAAGATTTCTATCAGCTAAGAAATATTTCTTTTCAACGACTTCATTTCAAGCTGTATAGTCGTGTTTAAAATCGATGCAATGCCAGATAAATGCACTAAAACGTTACATTGATTGGTTACTCGAGGGTAACCAATCAATGTGCCTAATCTAGTCCTACAAGATGTCAGTCATGAGCTGAATAGATTGGTGGTAACGTCTTTCACTGCATCACTGAGTGACGTGGGTTGGAATCTCATGCGGGACATCATCAGATACACCTTGCTGACAAATGCCAAAAAGCACGAAACTTAGGTCCAGGACTTCCAGCTGATTAGTTCCAACCAACTAGCATTAAGTTACTCAACCAATATACAGGTGATACAATTGGTGGTGGTAGTGATGGTGGGATTCGTTCAAATGGCAAATAACAGAAAATGAGTCACTGAATAAGGGACGAATTAATTTCAAATAGTGAAATAGTTTTATAGCACTGACTAACTGTCCCCTTGGGATCAAACATTTCCTAACAATGGTCTGTACTGTTGACAACTTCCATAGTCGATCACTAAACCTTTAAATCACGTTTATTTCGTTACCACCACTTAATTTGTTGTTAATTCTATGCAGTTTTCTAATGGTAACGTTCATTACTGGTGTATATTATATTATTTTTATTGTTATTATTACATCTTTCAATATGATTGCAGATTTTTTTAAAGTCTTTCCCCCTATATTCTCTTATTTCTAGCTGTTCGCTTTCTATGGGATTGTACCATAGAGTCAGTAGAGCATCAAAAGTCAGGTAATGAATCTTCATCTGCTTCTGGAAACGGTGCAATTCTCGCTCATTGTATGGGACTAGGCAAAACGCTATCTGTGATCTCATTTTTACACACACTACTCAGATATCCGGAACAATTAAATATTCGAACAGGTTTAATTATATGTCCAGTCAATACATTACTCAATTGGAAACATGAATGGGAAATATGGTCACCTGAAGATGAACCTACTGATGTATTCGAATTGGCTTCAAAGAATAGTAATAGACTTAAGTTGGATATTATAAAGCATTGGCACAAAAAAGTAAGCATTCTGATGCACTTATATATATATATATATATATATATATATATATATATATATCCTCTCTTTCAATGAAGTTCTGTTTCACCAGTTTGACTTACGATTTTACATTGTCTTCTAAAATCTTATCTCTTGATATACTAATCATATGAAAAGTCAATGAATCTTCGAAGAGGGTTAGTGTATGCGACATCTGCATGAAATGGATAACTAACACGTTTTCATAGCTTTAATCGTTTATGGATGGACAGTAAAGCGAATTGGTTTCTTTCATGTCTTCTCTCGATGAAAGCCAAGGTAAGGACGGGGACATGGAATGTCCGCACCATATTTGAACATAGCAAGGTTGCCCAGATCGCAAAAGAGATGAGAAGGTATAGCATAGAAGTGCTAGGAATCTGCGAAAGCAGGTGGAATGGAAGTGGACTCTCCATACTGTCGATTGGAGAGTCAATAATCTACTCCGATATTGTCACCCAGAGGACAACCACGATCACACTGAGTTGTGGAGTGGCTATCATGATGTCCCCATCAGCATCGAAGGCTCTCATACAGTGGGAACCAGTCTCCTCCTGTAGGATGAGGATCATGACAGCAAGATAGATTCAACTCAAAAGGAAGGAAAGCCACGATCACACAATGCTACGCGCCAACAAATAATGCAGATGAAGAGCAAAAAGAGGAATTCTACAGACAACTGCAATCAGTAATGGACAAGACCCCATGCAGTTGGCGACATAAAAATTCTGATGGGTGGGGCGACATGAATGCCAAACTGGGAGTTGACAACACAGGAAGAGAACCCATCATGGGTCGAAAGGCGCTCGGTGAAATGAATGGGGATGGATAACTGTTTGCAGACTTCTGCGCATTTAATGACTTGGTCATTGGAGGTAGTGTGTACAAGCACAAGGATATTCACAAAGCGACATAGATTTCACCAAATGGACACTAAAAATCAGATCGACTTCAGTTCAATCCTAAGAAAGTGGAGACTGAGCCTACTTGACACAAGTTCAGATCAAGAAGAGGAGCAGATGTAGGTTCACACCACTCACTATCTAGTGCAAGCAACCTTCCAAATCAAGTTAAAAGCCTTCACAGAAGTTGGTGATAGACCACAGTTCAAGTTCAACACCCAGAAACCGAAGGACAAAACTTCAAACGACATCTTCACCTCAGCTATCAGAACAAAACGGGAGGTATTGAGCGACATACCTGAAGAAACCTGTATGGAAGAATACTGAAACTGTTTGAAGGAGACGTGGAAGGAAACCTGCATAACCGTATTGGGAAGGAAGAAGAAACAAGACGAAACAAGGAGTGGATCTTGACGAACACATGGAAGCTGACAGAGGAAAGAAAGGAAGATGGTAAAGCAGAAGATGAACCAGTGCAGTGCAGGGATAAACAATGAAAAGAGGAACTGAACACAACGTATAAAACACTACACTAAACAAAGAAGTGAAGAAGAGTGCGCGCAAAGACAAAAGACACTTTTACGACACTGGCAAGTGAAGCAGAACAGGCTGCATATAGGAGAGACCTGACAACATTATATCGAATAACCAGGTTACTATCTGGGAAGAGATGAACTAAGATGAAACCAATAAAAGATGATGACGGAAATTTAATTACGAAAGAAGAGAAACAAAGGAAACGATGCACGGACCACTTCAGAAAACTCTTGAATCAACCACCAGCAACAACAACTGCGAATCGTCCAGAAGTACCACCGGTAACCGCGGAATTACCAGTCAGCACAAGCCCTCCGACAAAAGTCGAAGTCCTGAACACCATAAAGTTTCTGAATTTCGGGAAAGCAGCAGGATCAGATGGGATTCTGCCAGAAGCACTGAGAGCAGACGCAGAGACAACAGCGGACATGCTCACACCACTACTGCAGAAGGTCTGGAAGGATGGGAAGGTACCTGCAGATTAAAAGAAGTGTTACCTTGTCAAACTGCCGAAGAAGGGAGACCTAAGTATTTGCAAGAACTGGCGCGGAATCATGGTCCTGTCCACCCCAAGCAAAATATTAAGCCGCATCATCCTGGAGAGACTAGAGGATGCACTGGATTCAAAACTACTACCGAAACAGACTGGCTGGATTCAGGAAGAGCAAATCATGTGCAGACCAAATTGCAACGCCACACTACGCATCATCATATAACAGAGCATAGAATGGAAGTCAACTCTCCACTTCAACTTCATTGATTTGAAAAAGGCCTTCGATGGCGTCGACCGAGAAGTAATTTGGCAGACAGCTGCTTCAACACTGCGGTTTTAGTGCCACAAACATCTATCAACCTCATTCAACAACTATATGATGGTGTTGCCACGTGTAAAGTGGTTCACAATGGAAAGCTTAGTGATGCTTTTGAAGTGAAGGCAGGAGTAAGACAAAGCTGCCTACTATCACTGATGATCTTCCTGGTTGTGGTCGACTGGATCGTGTCAGAAACTGTGAAGCGAGAGAAGATGGGCATACTCTGGCTGGACCGATGAAGAGACCCCAGATGATTTATGTCTATCGCACAAGCTTGAATATCTATAGGCGAAAACCAAAAAGTCGGGAGAAGAGAGAGTACAGCCAAGACGGGACTTCCTTCAGTTGACTGTGGAGAAGACAGAGGTGATGAAGATACCCAAGCAACAACAACAACAACAACCACTACTACAATCACCAATCACCACCAATGTAGGAAACCTAAAGGAAGTTGTCTCTCTCACCTACCTACTTACCTGGGCAGTATCGTTTCAACTACAAGTGGTGGTGGCACAGATGAGGATGTCAAAGCCAGGATTGGAAAGACAGCAAGACAGGCTTTTGTTAGTGTGAAATGAATGTGGATATCTGGTGCACTGCACTCAGCATAAAGCGTGAACAAGATTTGTATTTTCAACACTAGTCAGTGAAATAAGTGAGTGCTTCTATGTGATGGTTGAGAGAGTTGGTGTGTTACAAAAATGATTTCGAACAAACTACAGAAATACATGAACAGTTGGCGCCTAGGATCACTGGATAGTGAAGACTAGATAGATGGCCGGAGGGAATAAGCAAGAGGGAACTGTGACTGGCTGATAACGAACCAAGCACGAACCGATTACCCAACAAATATGCAGAAGCAGGAAGTGGAGATGGATTGTATTGGATATACACTGAGAAGATCATTTGGGGACATCACGCGCCAGGCCAGGTCGTCGAGTGGAAGGCGAATGGGAAACAATGAGTTGGGGGTCCGAGGTGAGGTTAACATATAGGAGATGGTGTGACGAAGAAATGAAAGTTCTTGGGCTGTCGTGGAGCCAGGTTGAGAAGACTGAAGAGAAAAGAGTGACATGGCGACGTTGTACTGAAGCCCTATATTTCACTAGGAACCGCAGGGACAAACAATAAAATAATAATAGTGATAAGAAGATAAGATAAGCGGAGTTCACATAGTGACGTCAAGGGTGTGAAATAGAATACAAACAAATGTATATGAATTGATGATGACAACTAATGAACATGATGACTATCAACATCACAAAAGTTTTTAAATAGAGTGAGAATAGCAACAGTTCTAGCAGAATAGCATAGATGCATCATTTGATATTCTGCATGCCTTCTCAATCTTTTAAATTGCTGACTACTCGATACAAGACATTCAAAGAAGTGTGCTAAAACTGTTGTTTTCTTCCTCGATATAAATTTCTCAAGATAAAGAATTTTGCAAATGTTTTCATCATCGTAAGTATAGATTGATAGCTATTTTTTCTGAATAAATAACTGTGTTCAATTTTAAACGCCTTATACCTACTACTTCAATGAAACGCAATCAATTCCGCAATTTCTGGATATTATTTTCATATCGAAAATAATAATGTGACGAGCAATAGCGTTGTTGAAGACTTTCATGTTTGTTGGTAGAACACTGAGCTGGTAACCCCGGAGGCCTCTGTGTTAAATCCTAAATTTTCATTTCATCCTCAATCATTACTCAATATGCATATGAAGGTTTATTCGTTTTAATCGTCACATGCAGAGGGTGATTTTAGAGGCCACCCTAGCAATGATCAAAATAACCGATTAAGCTTCTTCATTTCGGTTAGAAAGGCTGATTTTCATGAAATCCAGTAGTCTGATTGGTTATTTCACTTGTTGCTAAAGTGGTCTTTTAATTTACTTTTTATAGATAACTAATTAAGTGAGGCGGTTAATGTCTATCTACAGAAAATAGGCTGTTGACAATCTGTTGACTTTCATCGTTTTGGATTCTATTGTGTAGATGTTATGTAACACAGTTTTTTCTTTCTAGTGAATCACTCTATTTATCTTTCTGTATGCTGTTTCGTAGTCGATTCGTATACCAGTTTATCATGTAATGTATCATGCTTTTTAGTATTGTCTATATTTGTATCTGTATTGTCTGCATATTTATTTCTCGCATTAATTTCTTTTCTTCATAAAAGGGTGGTATCCTTCTTATTGGTTATGATATGTTTCGTAATTTTGTTATGACATTAATGAAACGAACAAAGAGTAAAGGTGTCAGAAATACAATATCTTCATCTCTTCTCAATCCTGGACCAGATATAGTTGTGTGTGATGAGGGTCATTTAATGAAAAATGCTAAATCACATATCGCGAAAGCTGTTTCACAAATTCGTACCTCTAAACGTGTTATACTGACTGGAACACCTTTACAAAATAACCTTAATGAATGTATGTCTCTACTATGTTATTGCTTTTTAATTCAGTTATTATTTTGACTATCTTATGTCTTTTTTCATATATATATATATATATATATATATATATATATATATATATATATATATATATATATATATATATATATATATATAGTTGCATACTACCTTAAAATTAAAATCTCCATTTACCTCAAAACACATTACTGTACAGTACTCATTGGTGACATGCTTCTAGATGGATATCACCAAGTTCTAATGGAAAGCTGTGACCTGTGGGGTCAGTCAGTTGGAAGGGAAGCAAATGCCAGCTGAAGACCTTGAATAATAGTCACGCTTTATCACGAATTGATAGTTGGAGACTGTGAATCATTGAACTTCGATACAGTGGGTGGATGTTTAACGCATTTGCCGTGAAACCTGAACGTCCTGAGTTCTATCCCTATCGCGGTGGGGTCTTGGGTGCATACTGTTGAGTTATCCCATACTGGGATGAAATAGCTGTCCCAGGTTTACAATGTTTCTCTGGATTATTTCAGTCCGTGATGAATACTACCTCAAAGTTAAAATCCCCATTCACCTCTAAATAGTTGCATTAGGTGTAGTGATACTTGTAATTTCCCGTTGCTACATACAAGGCCGAATTGCTTGACCTCCATTGGCAGTTGGGCTTCTGTGAGAATGCTTCGATACTGGCTGATATTCATGATGTTATATTGAACTTGGTGACTAGCAGAGGAATCCAGGATGCGCGTTTCATTCTATTTGGGACTCGTTATCTGTATATACTTGCTCCCCAGGGAGTGATGTTTCCACCGAGACCGGAACCCAGTACCTATCACTTCAAACACCAGTGGTTTAGTGGATAACGCTCTGGTGTTTGAAACGAAGGGTACTGGGTTCGAGCGTCGGTAGTAACCGCATCACTTACTGGGTCGCATGCACATCCACCTGACGAGTCCCGAATAGGACGAAACGCGCGTCCTGGATTCCTCTGCTAGTCACCAAGATCAATATAGTTGCATTAAGTTGACATTGGTGTAACGCGTCACAGCTTCATAGTTAGTTCACAGGACATTTAACTTAGTGATGTGAAATGTTAGCAAATATGTTTTGTAATGGAAAGCAGTACTGATATGGGGCTAATCAATCTTCCGTTACGGAATAAATAGTGGAATATGGTAGAGGAATCGTCTTGAATGAATTTTCTTTTTGTGACTGGTTCTGAGCATTTTGTTGTACTTTATCTCTTTTCATCCTTCATTATCTTAATAGCACTGTCATCATATTTTGCATGGCATATTCCTTTGCATCGAATTTATGACAAAACAGTAATGAAACTAGATTGTCTTGCATCTTGTAGATAGTCAGCAGGACCACCTTGATATGCACATTTTTGATGATTCACTGCAGCATTTGTTCACAAGTTGTACATATAACCTGGAGATTATTGATACTTATGAAACCTGAAGTCATGTTACTGATTAGATAGAGCTTGGAGTTCGAAAAGCTTACCCAAATGATGGTAGTTACTCGTTTAGGAAAGAGAAGTGTATCGAGGTTGCAATAGGCTTTTGATTAGTAAAATCGTTTAGTGATACCAAGGTTAATATTATCAATACTATTGTTTCGAGAAATTTGTGCCGAATAAACCGCCTACTTTGGCCATCTACATAGTCCAGCTGTGGAGCTGCAGCTCATCGGTTTAGAAAGATCACTTTTAACCGATAAGTCGTAGATTCGAAAACCACTCGACTTACTGAGGTTTAGGCAGCTAGGTAGTGTCATAAGCCCTCACAAAATGAGTATGGCTTGTGGCCTATTGCACGAATGTGTACAAGGTTAATAAATGCTGATGTTCAAGATAGTTTACCATGTGTTGTTATTGCGATTATAACTATCAAGGTGTATGGAATAATTCTCATGGTCATCGAATAGATGTCATTCTTACTTTTTTTTTTCTTTTCTATATTAGATCATGCAATGGTTGATTTCGTCAAGCCAAATTTACTAGGTACTCTTAAAGAATTCAACAATCGTTTTGTCAATCCAATCAAAAATGGTCAACATTCAAATTCTACACCAAGGGATGTGAATGTAATGAAGAAAAGAGCTCATATTTTATATAAAACGCTAGATGGATGTGTTCAGGTAAGCAGTTCTGTGACTACAGTCATTCTTGTCCTACTATATATATATATATATATATATATATATATATATATATATATATATATATATATATATATATATATATATATAGTAGGACAAGAATGACTGTAGTCACAGAACTGCTTACCTGAACACATCCATCTAGCGTTTTATATAAAATATGAGCTCTTTTCTTCATTACATTCACATCCCTTGGTGTAGAATTTGAATGTTGACCATTTTTGATTGGATTGACAAAACGATTGTTGAATTCTTTAAGAGTACCTAGTAAATTTGGCTTGACGAAATCAACCATTGCATGATCTAATATAGAAAAGAAAAAAAAATGTAAGAATGACATCTATTCGATGACCATGAGAATTATTCCATACACCTTGATAGTTATAATCGCAATAACAACACATGGTAAACTATCTTGAACATCAGCATTTATTAACCTTGTACACATTCGTGCAATAGGCCACAAGCCATACTCATTTTGTGAGGGCTTATGACACTACCTAGCTGCCTAAACCTCAGTAAGTCGAGTGGTTTTCGAATCTACGACTTATCGGTTAAAAGTGATCTTTCTAAACCGATGAGCTGCAGCTCCACAGCTGGACTATGTAGATGGCCAAAGTAGGCGGTTTATTCGGCACAAATTTCTCGAAACAATAGTATTGATAATATTAACCTTGGTATCACTAAACGATTTTACTAATCAAAAGCCTATTGCAACCTCGATACACTTCTCTTTCCTAAACGAGTAACTACCATCATTTGGGTAAGCTTTTCGAACTCCAAGCTCTATCTAATCAGTAACATGACTTCAGGTTTCATAAGTATCAATAATCTCCAGGTTATATGTACAACTTGTGAACAAATGCTGCAGTGAATCATCAAAAATGTGCATATCAAGGTGGTCCTGCTGACTATCTACAAGATGCAAGACAATCTAGTTTCATTACTGTTTTGTCATAAATTCGATGCAAAGGAATATGCCATGCAAAATATGATGACAGTGCTATTAAGATAATGAAGGATGAAAGAGATAAAGTACAACAAAATGCTCAGAACCAGTCACAAAAAGAAAATTCATTCAAGACGATTCCTCTACCATATTCCACTATTTATTCCGTAACGGAAGATTGATTAGCCCCATATCAGTACTGCTTTCCATTACAAAACATATTTGCTAACATTTCACATCACTAAGTTAAATGTCCTGTGAACTAACTATGAAGCTGTGACGCGTTACACCAATGTCAACTTAATGCAACTATATTGATCTTGGTGACTAGCAGAGGAATCCAGGACGCGCGTTTCGTCCTATTCGGGACTCGTCAGGTGGATGTGCATGCGACCCAGTAAGTGATGCGGTTACTACCGACGCTCGAACCCAGTACCCTTCGTTTCAAACACCAGAGCGTTATCCACTAAACCACTGGTGTTTGAAGTGATAGGTACTGGGTTCCGGTCTCGGTGGAAACATCACTCCCTGGGGAGCAAGTATATACAGATAACGAGTCCCAAATAGAATGAAACGCGCATCCTGGATTCCTCTGCTAGTCACCAAGTTCAATATAACATCATGAATATCAGCCAGTATCGAAGCATTCTCACAGAAGCCCAACTGCCAATGGAGGTCAAGCAATTCGGCCTTGTATGTAGCAACGGGAAATTACAAGTATCACTACACCTAATGCAACTATTTAGAGGTGAATGGGGATTTTAACTTTGAGGTAGTATTCATCACGGACTGAAATAATCCAGAGAAACATTGTAAACCTGGGACAGCTATTTCATCCCAGTATGGGATAACTCAACAGTATGCACCCAAGACCCCACCGCGATAGGGATAGAACTCAGGACGTTCAGGTTTCACGGCAAATGCGTTAAACATCCACCCACTGTATCGAAGTTCAATGATTCACAGTCTCCAACTATCAATTCGTGATAAAGCGTGACTATTATTCAAGGTCTTCAGCTGGCATTTGCTTCCCTTCCAACTGACTGACCCCACAGGTCACAGCTTTCCATTAGAACTTGGTGATATCCATCTAGAAGCATGTCACCAATGAGTACTGTACAGTAATGTGTTTTGAGGTAAATGGAGATTTTAATTTTAAGGTAGTATGCAACTATATATATATATATATATATATATATATATATATATATATATATATATATATATATATATATATGAAAAAAGACATAAGATAGTCAAAATAATAACTGAATTAAAAAGCAATAACATAGTAGAGACATACATTCATTAAGGTTATTTTGTAAAGGTGTTCCAGTCAGTATAACACGTTTAGAGGTACGAATTTGTGAAACAGCTTTCGCGATATGTGATTTAGCATTTTTCATTAAATGACCCTCATCACACACAACTATATCTGGTCCAGGATTGAGAAGAGATGAAGATATTGTATTTCTGACACCTTTACTCTTTGTTCGTTTCATTAATGTCATAACAAAATTACGAAACATATCATAACCAATAAGAAGGATACCACCCTTTTATGAAGAAAAGAAATTAATGCGAGAAATAAATATGCAGACAATACAGATACAAATATAGACAATACTAAAAAGCATGATACATTACATGATAAACTGGTATACGAATCGACTACGAAACAGCATACAGAAAGATAAATAGAGTGATTCACTAGAAAGAAAAAACTGTGTTACATAACATCTACACAATAGAATCCAAAACGATGAAAGTCAACAGATTGTCAACAGCCTATTTTCTGTAGATAGACATTAACCGCCTCACTTAATTAGTTATCTATAAAAAGTAAATTAAAAGACCACTTTAGCAACAAGTGAAATAACCAATCAGACTACTGGATTTCATGAAAATCAGCCTTTCTAACCGAAATGAAGAAGCTTAATCGGTTATTTTGATCATTGCTAGGGTGGCCTCTAAAATCACCCTCTGCATGTGACGATTAAAACGAATAAACCTTCATATGCATATTGAGTAATGATTGAGGATGAAATGAAAATTTAGGATTTAACACAGAGGCCTCCGGGGTTACCAGCTCAGTGTTCTACCAACAAACATGAAAGTCTTCAACAACGCTATTGCTCGTCACATTATTATTTTCGATATGAAAATAATATCCAGAAATTGCGGAATTGATTGCGTTTCATTGAAGTAGTAGGTATAAGGCGTTTAAAATTGAACACAGTTATTTATTCAGAAAAAATAGCTATCAATCTATACTTACGATGATGAAAACATTTGCAAAATTCTTTATCTTGAGAAATTTATATCGAGGAAGAAAACAACAGTTTTAGCACACTTCTTTGAATGTCTTGTATCGAGTAGTCAGCAATTTAAAAGATTGAGAAGGCATGCAGAATATCAAATGATGCATCTATGCTATTCTGCTAGAACTGTTGCTATTCTCACTCTATTTAAAAACTTTTGTGATGTTGATAGTCATCATGTTCATTAGTTGTCATCATCAATTCATATACATTTGTTTGTATTCTATTTCACACCCTTGACGTCACTATGTGAACTCCGCTTATCTTATCTTCTTATCACTATTATTATTTTATTGTTTGTCCCTGCGGTTCCTAGTGAAATATAGGGCTTCAGTACAACGTCGCCATGTCACTCTTTTCTCTTCAGTCTTCTCAACCTGGCTCCACGACAGCCCAAGAACTTTCATTTCTTCGTCACACCATCTCCTATATGTTAACCTCACCTCGGACCCCCAACTCATTGTTTCCCATTCGCCTTCCACTCGACGACCTGGCCTGGCGCGTGATGTCCCCAAATGATCTTCTCAGTGTATATCCAATACAATCCATCTCCACTTCCTGCTTCTGCATATTTGTTGGGTAATCGGTTCGTGCTTGGTTCGTTATCAGCCAGTCACAGTTCCCTCTTGCTTATTCCCTCCGGCCATCTATCTAGTCTTCACTATCCAGTGATCCTAGGCGCCAACTGTTCATGTATTTCTGTAGTTTGTTCGAAATCATTTTTGTAACACACCAACTCTCTCAACCATCACATAGAAGCACTCACTTATTTCACTGACTAGTGTTGAAAATACAAATCTTGTTCACGCTTTATGCTGAGTGCAGTGCACCAGATATCCACATTCATTTCACACTAACAAAAGCCTGTCTTGCTGTCTTTCCAATCCTGGCTTTGACATCCTCATCTGTGCCACCACCACTTGTAGTTGAAACGATACTGCCCAGGTAAGTAGGTAGGTGAGAGAGACAACTTCCTTTAGGTTTCCTACATTGGTGGTGATTGGTGATTGTAGTAGTGGTTGTTGTTGTTGTTGTTGCTTGGGTATCTTCATCACCTCTGTCTTCTCCACAGTCAACTGAAGGAAGTCCCGTCTTGGCTGTACTCTCTCTTCTCCCGACTTTTTGGTTTTCGCCTATAGATATTCAAGCTTGTGCGATAGACATAAATCATCTGGGGTCTCTTCATCGGTCCAGCCAGAGTATGCCCATCTTCTCTCGCTTCACAGTTTCTGACACGATCCAGTCGACCACAACCAGGAAGATCATCAGTGATAGTAGGCAGCTTTGTCTTACTCCTGCCTTCACTTCAAAAGCATCACTAAGCTTTCCATTGTGAACCACTTTACACGTGGCAACACCATCATATAGTTGTTGAATGAGGTTGATAGATGTTTGTGGCACTAAAACCGCAGTGTTGAAGCAGCTGTCTGCCAAATTACTTCTCGGTCGACGCCATCGAAGGCCTTTTTCAAATCAATGAAGTTGAAGTGGAGAGTTGACTTCCATTCTATGCTCTGTTATATGATGATGCGTAGTGTGGCGTTGCAATTTGGTCTGCACATGATTTGCTCTTCCTGAATCCAGCCAGTCTGTTTCGGTAGTAGTTTTGAATCCAGTGCATCCTCTAGTCTCTCCAGGATGATGCGGCTTAATATTTTGCTTGGGGTGGACAGGACCATGATTCCGCGCCAGTTCTTGCAAATACTTAG